GTAGATTTGCAACTTTGTATCAATCTATGGCCTGGCCCAAAGTTTTTTCTTCACCCGTGAATACTGATAAATTAAATGTGCACGGAAGAGTGAAAGGTTAAAGGTCGCTAAGATTTTCCCAGCTATGCATATATGATGACGGACAGGCATGCGTCATGCTTGTTTAATGACATCCATTATTAATCTTCTCTATATAGTCAAGGGAAGATCCAAAGAGGAGATTTTGAAGGTGAAGCTCTGTTCATGAGAAAGTAAACATATCTGAATAATATCCAAATTACTCGCTTGTGTCAGAGGAGCAATCAATTATTGCATATGGGTTGCTTCCCTACGACAAGCAGCATAGTTCTAACTGAGAAACGCGGTTAAAGTTAATCGATTAAAAATAAGTTGTGTTTCATAGTATCTTTTTGGTTTTGGTTGCCCGTAGTTATCATGTTCGTAGTTCTAATGTATCCCCCTCTGCTTCTAGTTTTGCTTGAGGAAGAACTGAGGAGTTTTGGGAGCAACAAAATTCATCTCCGTACTGATTAAACATGAAACCTAAATGTTGAAAAGCCTAAATTTTTTAAGTACAAGAACATTTCAGGGAAACACGAGGATTACGTACTTTTAACCAGAGTTCTTTGATTTTGGACCCAAAAAAAAAAAAAAACCAGAGTTCTTTGATTGCAATTCTACTGTCTGGTGGGTGTCGGCCTGTCGGGCTGGAATTAGATCAGCAGCGCCAACATTATTGTTGGAGAAACATATGAATAACTGGCAAGTCGTTCTTCAAGGCATTCTTAGATTAACAACCTAAATTTGATCACATTGCTTCACATTGGTTTCATTATCAATCCTCATGATTTGAAGCTTTCCTAAATATGGCTATTATTAAGAGACCTTACAGCTGATTCATACGTTGCCAACTTTCAAGAATTGACACATGCTACTTCCTGGTGACGTCCTGTTTCATCCTGCAAACAAGTTGCGCAGTTAAATCAGATTGATCCTCTCAGTTGTTATATTCACAAATTCAAATTTCAAAGTGAGAAAGACAAGGGAGAGTGGCTCTGTATCAAGTCTACATATTTCGGAATTATACACCTTCCCCTTCCCCACTATCTATCTCTTTCGTGGTTATGGCATTAAAATTTACACTTAGTTGCGTGAATTTGTGAGTGTACGGAGGGCATTGGAGCAGGATATGAGTAAATGATAATGGGCCCCCGAGTTGCAATTGGAATCGGAAGCTAGGGAGAATAAGGATTGGTTCTGCCTACTGCAGGACGATCAACTTATCTGATAAATGCAGAAAATAAATAAACAAATAAGATATTGAAATTTATACTTTGACCCTGTGTTTACTTACTCATCTTTAACATACACGTGTATGCGGGACATCTGGACTTCCTAGATGTAACAAACTCTTTGGAGTAGAAACAAGCTTACCCCATCAGAATGTAAACAGCAGCCTCTTCAGAGCAGTTGCAGACCAAGAGCTTCTGAGGAGAAGCAACTTGTACAATGCTGCCCAAATAGAGGAAGAAGTGAGGGTACCCATTCCAAATAATGCAACAAGACAAAGAAGTGGATGGCTCTATCATTGAAGGAGGAAAGAGCGGATGCGGAGGAGTGCTTAGAGATAAAAACTATAGGCGGATAAGTGGTTTTAATTGCAAGATTACCGCGGTGCCTTCGGCTATAGCAGAATTTATAGCAATTATTTATGGTCTTAACCTGTGCTGGTATAGAAACTATAGGAATGTCTTTGTCTACTCTGATTATATTGATATTATTAATTATTTGCATAGGGGCTGTGATCCTACACGCTCTTTTAGAGATCTTGTTGATGAAGCCATATTACTTTTGTATAAGGATTAGGAGGTGACGATCTATTACACTCATAGATAAAATAATTTTATGGCTGATCACCTTGCCAAGTTATCAAATACTCCCTCTGTTCCTTATTATAAGAGACATTTGATGCTTATGGCATGTTCTCATATATAAGAAACACTTAAAAGTTGTTTCTATTTCTTGGTATTGATTTCCTATTTTATCCCTATTTATTTTTTCTCCAACTCATACTCTCTCTCCCTCCTACTTCTCTTTCTTTTAATAATTTAATTGTTCTCTCTCATACTCTCTCTCCTTATTAATGGGGGCATTGTTGAAAAAAACATTATACTTTTTAAACATTAATTGTCCTCAACTAATTTTAACTGTTTTTTTATCAACGTAATTTAGTTATTTGTCTCTTATAATAAGGAACGAAGGGAGTAGGATGGAAAGAAATTATTATATCTTTGATCACATTTTATCTTTCTTAATGAGAGATGGATGATGATGAAAGAAACTCCCATTTTTTGTTTGTAACCTTGACTTTGCTTCTTTTGTGATTAATGGGTATACAGTTGCTGTCCCAAAAAAAAACAACACGCATATGCTCTAAACAAGCTGTTCCTACTCCGGTCAAAAAAAAAAACAAGCTGTTCCTACAAAAAAAAAAAAGAAATGTACCAATGAAGCACGACACTGTTTTATTCATGAGTTAGACGTGAACAGTGAACATGATCATTTTTTTTTCCCCTGGTTTGGTTTACTTTTCAAAACAATAACTGGAAGTATAAGGCACGAATCAATTACCTATGAAGCACGCACACCAACTAACATGTCCTGCGCTGATCGCTCCTTGCTGCAATAACACTCACCTCTTAAGAAGTTTAATTTGAAGCTTCCTTTTTCAAATTTGAAAAGCTATCATAGGCAATAAGTCAAATTACTCTTCACCATTATCATCAAATCCCTTTTTTTTTTTTAATTGTTATTGTTATTATTTGTGCAGTGTCTTGTGTTCCATAACTCCCGAGAGCAGCATGCTGGGGCGGCGGGCATGTGAATGGGCCCGGCGGTTTGTGGGAAGAATCACAGTGGCTCCTGCACGTAGGAGGCTCAAAATGCAACTTGATGGCTCTGGAATCCCATTCACCGGGCACATCCACCGCGCTCTTATCTGCACATGTCTGTAGTACACACGTGTGGCTCTTCATGGTCCGCCATCAAGGGCTCCCATGGTTAAATCAAACCCAAATAAAGAAAATTCATTTCATCAACCTGTGATCTTAATAGGACCAAGTACTCTGCATTAAACTTTGTTAAAATATTATACTATTATTTAGATTAGATGATGTGGCATGGCTCATGGGCCTCAAATGTGGGCCTCATGACAGAAGTTGCAAGGCGATGGACTCTTTTTTCTTTTTGAGTGGAAAAGAGGATGTATTCCTAAAATATGTACAAGAAGTCAAGATTAAACATGCAAACAATTAGTTAGAGCTAATAACAGCATTTAAGAGCCTCCTTGCGTTAGAGTTGTGAATAACAAAAGATTGGACAAAAATAATTATGTTTTTTGGGAAAAGAGAATCATCAGCAAATCTGTGCTTGTTTCGGTTGTTCCAAAGTTTCCAACATAACATACCAAAATTGAGCCTCCAATGAGTGCCCATGCATTGAGGATTGAGATTCCAAAGTAGCCAGTCTTCAAAAGGTTTGGAGAAGAATTCGTGGGTTTTGTCGTGGGGTAGTATTTGCAGCCAGCATGCTCTTGTTGTGGGACAAAAACCGGAGAATGTGCTCAAGGTCCTCAACTATAAGTTCCTTCCATGGTTATGCCTCTTCTCAATCGCTCTGCATTAGAAAAGAATTTGTTCTTCTTGGCTAGCCAAAAGAAAGTGCGAATCCTTTGAACACCAGGCCACTTCCACATTCAATTCCAGCATTTGCTAAGACTTTCACAATCAAGCTGTTGATTGGCTTGATACGCAGAATTAACTGTGAAAGCTCTATTGGTAGTAAGATTCCAATAGCACAAGTCATTTGAATGAAGTTTTTGAGGGGGGCTAGTTCCAGCAATTTGTAAATTCAGGCTTGTTGGAAGCAGGTGCTTGAATTTAATCCCGTTCCATTCTCTCTAGCTAGTAACGCAGTCGCCAATTATCTTGTTAAGTTCAGAGTCTGACACATCTGAGAAAGTGAGGCATTTGAGAGGACCCATTTCTCCTACCTAGTGATCAACCCAGAATCTAGTTGTCTTACCATCTCCAATATGCCAAGTGATATCTAGTTCAGTATCGGGCCAAACAGCAACTATATTCTAGGCGGTGGACTCTTTGATTCCTTCTTTAGGCCTACTTTAGGTCCTTTTGCTTTTGTTCTGGGCCTGTCATTATTTTGTAGCTTCACATCAAGATAATGACCGTTAGCTCCCAGAAACATGATCCGTCAATTGTGGGAACAAAGGGCTTGTTTTTTCCGTCCACAAAAAGGAAAAGATGATTGCCGTTTTCTTTTGTCGTGGGAAATAAAAAGATACAAATGAACGAAATAAGACAATCCAATTAAAGAGGCCCAGAGAGGCCCATTCTTCCCTATTGACAAACCACCTGACGCCAAACGGTCTCCATTACCATAGATAGTGTGTTTCAGCATACTTGGGGGTCATAGAGAGAGGCTGGGGGCATTAACATGTAGACAAATTCCCGAAGTTGCACTTTTAAACGGGCTTAATAAAATTTTTTGTTCCCTTTTGTTTTGTTTGATTTTAATTTTTCAAGTTTTAAACTATATATTTTGATTTTTCAAAAAAACAAAATATTACAAATTTTTATTAAATTGTAAAGATTAATATTTTAAATAAAAACAAATTTAAAGAGTCAAAATTCATTATAATTTAAAATTTAAGAGACTAAAATCAAAATAAGGATAAACCTGTAACATCAAAAATTGAATTCACTTTATCAAAAAGAAAAAAGAAAAAAGACCAAATTTTTACATACTCGCCTTCCTGATCACAATCAAAGGCCCCCGAGAACTGGAAAAAACGAAACTGCTAATTGCTAAAGAAAGCCACGCCGAAAAAGATAAGCACAAAACTAATAAATATGGGTTCGAAATTCTTCCGTGCTGATTTTAGTATTAAACTCACTGAACTTCGGTTTCTCTGAAACCCAGCTCCGTCTTGGCAGTTCCAATAAATAGCTGCTTCTAGACGAGGCTGTTTTACTCAGAATCCAATGCTCTCCCTCCTGTCTTAGTCGGACTAGTCCCTCCTCCTCTCGCTTTATACTCTGAATTTGATTCTAAAGAAGAAAGATCTGTGCTTTCTCCAAGTTTCAATTAACTATCAATTCTTCCTTCTTACTCTGTCTTGAATTCCCAGATCTTTCCTCGCCTCCTCTATCTCAGCTTTTCTGGGCAATTTCTTTTCATACTCCACTTCCCTTGAAGTCACCCTCACAGGTTTTACATTTCCATCTGCTCCCCATAACCCAACATCTATTCTCATTCACTCATTATATCTCATAGATCTCTTCTTTCTCTCTCATTATCGTTCCTGAAAAACATATTGAAGTTGAAACTCGAGAGGAAGATCTCATTTTTTTTAAAAAGAATGGTTCGATTCTTGCTCCTAATCTTCATTTGCTTCGCCGCCATTGCACACTTGTTCAGCTCTTCCGCGTTGGCTGACGTGATAACCTGCTCGAATATAGTGCCAAGGAGGTATCGACATGATAAGATTTCCATAACGGACTTCGGCGGTGTGGGTGACGGACGAACACTGAATACGAAGGCATTTCGAGCGGCCATTTATCGGATACAGCATCTCAAGAGGCGAGGAGGCACGCTTCTTTTCATTCCCCCTGGAGTGTACTTAACAGGAAGCTTCAATCTCACAAGCCACATGACTCTTTATCTGGCCAGTGGTGCTGTTATCAAAGCGACACAAGTAAGCACAGATCAGCATTACGCTGATCTTTTACCTCTTGAGTCAGTTTGAAACTGTAGATTAATCGAGCAGCTGCTAAATGGAAGTCGGCGATTTCCGGCTGACGGTGCTTTGTGCCAATTTCTTTGTTTATCTTTATGTCTTAAATGTGGTTGGTTTAGATTAGTAGATGATTTAAATGCATCTCTGGAAAGAAGGGGTCTGCTTGAGTTATGGTGGGTCCCTGGGTAAAAGGAGGGGAATGCATCTGGTGGGTCTCGACCTGCGTGGCGCCATGTGCTTTACATCAATCGCTGTAGCAATAATTTGTAGGACAGCTGGATATCTGGGCAGTGGTGTCATATTGTCATCTACTGTGATATTCATTCAGTCGGTAGTGGGGTGTTGCATTTTACGCTAGTTTGTAAGAGATGGGGGTTGGATGTGATTCATCTGTTAGGTAAAAGCATTAAAAAGAAAGATGCTCCAATGAGATATTGCGTTTTAAAACTAAGGATTATGGTTATCAATTCCCTTAAACGGTACTTAATCAATCAATGGTTTGATAATGCTCCGTATCCTCAGGCTCAGGGCAGTCAACTCCTAAATGCGTTAGATTAGAAAGCTCCACGTATGGTGGACTTATTTTAGTTAATTCTGTTATTGCTGGCGCTTTGTGTTGACTCATCGTTGACTTTATGGAGCTGAAACTGCATCAAAATAGACGATGTTCCCTTTTCCCCTTTTTCTAGAGGCCGCACGTACACTGTTCAATTACTGCTTGTTTCGGGCTTTCTGCACGAGAATCTCATGAGAGGCATTATGTCTTCTATGCATTATTTTTTTTTTTTGACCAAAAATCTTCTATGCATTATTAGAAGACGTGGAATGAAGAGACTCTAATGGGTTAGGCTTTAAATGTTATCTAATAGCCCGATATTTGCTTGCCACTATAGCTTAAAAGTCTCGCTGATAGAAGGTTATATTCTTTATATTTGCTTGCCACTGTTGCTGTTCTAATATGATCTGCAGATGCAGAGAGTCCAGTGGAAATCAAAACGCTTACTCTTTTTTTTTTGTATCTTTCATGTTCCTTTTCTTTTCCCTTTTATCTAAAGGGAGAGTAATGCTTAGTTCATTGATAAATCTTCCTCGTTGTCTTATTCATCAGGATACAAAGCATTGGCCATTGATCGCACCGTTGCCATCTTATGGAAGAGGCAGAGAGCGCCCTGGCGGAAGGTATATTAGCTTTATCCAAGGAGACGGGGTGCAAGATGTGGTAATCACTGGTGGGTATCATATCTTTGATTGTCCGTAAATAAATTCTGCAGTACATGCCCGGCTGATTGATTCCTTTTTCCTTACCGAATAGCATAGCCTAATATCATTTAAATTAGAAGCTTTTACTAGAAAGCTTATTTAGCATAGCCTAATATTTCTCTCTTGGTCTCTGTTATATATCATGTTTTCACAGGTGACAACGGGACAATTGATGGGCAAGGAGATATATGGTGGAACATGTGGAGGCAGAGGACTCTCCAATACACCAGACCAAACCTTCTTGAATTTGTGAATTCCAGAGATATCGTCGTTTCGAATGTGATTTTTAGGAATTCTCCTTTTTGGAACATACATCCGGTTTACAGCAGGTACAGATCATAGTGTCATAGCCACAAAAGTTAAATATTTATCCACAGTCCATTCTGTTACTTTCATGCCTTCTTTTACCCCTGTTGTAACATTGTTTTACTATGAATGGAGAGAGTCTCTTTCTGTTTTAAATCGTAATGATCCTCTTCACTTTTCGCTTGTCCGAAGCTTAGACTAAAATGGAACTGAATATGACGGTGTGTGGACCTAAAATCTGATATCGAAACTTCTTCCCTCTTTGCAGCAATGTTGTGATCCGATTTGTCACCATATTGGCCCCCCATGACTCACCTAACACTGACGGAATTGATCCAGGTGAATATCATCTTAAATACTAACCTTCTGTCATTTAAGTCAGTAAGTAAAGCGTATTGAAATTGAAAATGAGGAATAAGGTTAATGAGCCTATCTCGTTCTGGATAAATTGGTCTAAAAGAACCCTCTCTTATCTGCTGTTGCTTTGTGTTATGCTTTGGAAGCATTCATTGGCTGGAGGAGTACTAGCCGTGTGAGACCCAATGGGAGTCTCACCTACCTGTGACGTTTACGTTACTGAGTACCATGGAAGTGCCCTATGAGAGATCACAATACTTTTATTCATCCATTCTTGAAACTGATCTGTGCAGATTCTAGTTCGAATGTGTGCATAGAGGACTCGTACATATCGTGTGGAGATGATGCTGTGGCTGTGAAGAGTGGGTGGGATGAATATGGGATTGCTTATGGTCGACCTAGCTCTGGAATCACCATCCGGCGGGTGACGGCATCATCCCCATTCTCCGGAATTGCAATCGGCAGTGAGGCCTCTGGTGGGGTGGAAAATGTGCTTGCTGAACACATTAATCTCTTCAACACAGGAATCGGTCTCCACATAAAGACCAACAGTGGAAGGGGAGGGACTATAAAGAATATAACCTTCTCTCATGTGTATATAGAGGAGGCAAGGACTGGAATAAAGATTTCTGGTGATGTTGGGGATCACCCTGATGACAAATTCAACCCCAATGCTCTCCCTATTGTCAAGGACGTTACAATTAATAATGTTTGGGGTGTGAAGGTTAGGCAGGCAGGCTTGATACGTGGAATCAAAAATTCCCCCTTCACTCAGATTTGCCTCTCTGATATCTACCTTCATGGTATTACGGGACCTAGATCTCCTCCATGGCAGTGTTCTAATGTTCTGGGAGCATCTCGTCAGGTAAGTCCGTCTCCATGTTCAGAGCTGGCCACCCAGCAGCCTGGATCATGTGCCAATCACTTCTGAGGTTTTCTGGTGATTCATTTGACACCAGACAATTAATATTCGTAATTGCTTATTGAACTATTGTAAGGAAATGCAATAAACCACTACCAGTTCTTCATACAACTTCTTGGAATGCGTCTATCTCTATCAGTTTCAGTTGTGCGAGCCAAATGATTAATTAGGCTTTTCAGCAATTCTTGGATGATTATGTTTAGATAAACGAGATGTTTCGTATGATAAGGTGGGGGCCAGGGGGTTTAGGGGTAAAATGAGAATGAAATATTCAAACATCTATTATATGTATATCGATAGTGTACGGAAAAACACATCTGGCTGTCCATCTGCGCAGGCAAAATACACATGCATGCTTCTACATCTCTCGCGGATGCAAACTTATTTACAGGATATAGACTGTAATATAACTAACTAAATATAACTAACTAGCAATACAACAACAGGTAACAACATAAATTATTCGCGTAATTACTATCACTGTGTATCCACTGGCATCAAAGTCAGAAGTGCTGCAAAAACTTGCGGATACTCTTCATCAAGGCCCCATGCTCATGATCTCTTTCGTAAAACTGGTTGTGGTGGTGATCGTGTTCGTGATCATGTTCGTGGTCGTGGTCATGGTGGTGATCGTGATCGTGTTCGTGGTCGTGGTCATGGTGGTGATCGTGATCGTGTTCGTGTTCGTGGTCATGGTGATGGTGACGAGGCCTCATCATTACCTCCTCACTCGTCTCCATAACAGGTTCGTCGGTGAACCTTGATTCAAAGCGGCCAAACCTCGTCCATCTCGTCGGGATCTTAGGCACTCGATCGTCAGGAAGCACATCGGAGTCCTTTTCCTCGCCGTTGCTCAGGATCATGTCGTTGCCGTACGGGATCTGGTGGTGGGGTATGCGCGGATTCCACGGCTTGAATTTATGGTTGTGGCGGCAACGGTGGCCGTGGTGGAAGGGAAACGGCATCGGACGCCAGGGCATATGGCGGTTGAGGGGGCGGAAAGTGATCGTCGTGATAGGAACGGAGTCAGAAGCTTCGGATGATTCTGTTAGCTTAAAAGTTTCCACTTCCGACTCAGCTTCGGAAATCTTAGAATTAGAAATCTCAGGCTGCGACCGGATCACCGTTGCGGATTCAGATTCGGATCTTTCGCTGGGTAGGGAGATCGCGTTGACCTCATCGGAATTTTTGTGTGATTCAGGGAACGGATCATGCTTGGTTTGATCAACTGCGGGCAGATCAACGGCCGTCGAAAGCGTAGAGAAATAAAGGAGGCAAAAGAAGACAGTGAAGGAAGCGAAGCCTGCGGCCATGGTTATGGTTTGAAGAGGTAATAAAATTTGAGGAGGGCAGAAGAAGATATAAATATGAGGTGGGGAAGAAGAGAGCACGGGGGGCGGGTGGGAATTTGACTTTTGGCAAAGCAACAGAGGAGAGTGTGAAACCGACGTGAATGGAGCTAAGTATCAAGGAAGTCTAGCCTGGCCTCTCACGTTTTAGCACAGCAAAGCCCAAAATGGCCTTTGCCTATTCCTGATAGATACGTTTGGGTCATAGTGATAGTCCAATGGAGCCTTCGATGCGTGCACGCAAACAAGTGAATGACAGATGGTCAGATATATTCAATTTAAAAGGCTGACGTGATAATTGAATTTGTGCCACGAATTGATTTGATTTACACGCTAACACAGTCTTTTGTTCTAATTATGAGTCCACATAGATATCCTTCTAATTTCTTCAGTTATAAGCTTTAAATATGGAAGAGATAGAATTTTCCATTTCAATAATACCCTTAGAGAAATTGATGGAGTTGCTGATTTATCAATGAAATTATATCTCTTCTTTGAAATTAACGGCGTCACCGAAAAATTAGGCTATTTCTTTTCTGAACAGAACAACACTGAAAATAGGGAGGGAGGGAGTAATATATAAAGCACCATTTTGATGGCCATAAACTCATATTCCGTTCTATATTGGTGGACAACTGTGTATTTCATATAAAACATTGATGTTTGTATTTTTTTTTGCTGCCTGGGAACAGAAAGCCTGTTTTCTTCTGTTTTTTTACTTGGGTTAGAAGAGCGTGGTTTTTGTTGAGGGGCCTGATGAGGGAGAGGCTGGTGTTAAGGAAAGTAAAGAGAGGCCCATAACAAGGGAATGGGCCGGAGTCATTTGATCCAATGAGCTGTCGGAACTTGTACGGGTTTGCAGAATGCGGAGGGGAAGTTTTGGTGATGGGTGGCGTTGCTGCTCTGAGCCAACAAGTATGAGGAGTCAGTCTCTTAAAGAAAGCAGCATTCCACCCACCGACCACTGCCATGTGTGTGCCCAGACGCACATCAGATGGATATAGACTGAAATTTCCATTTACTTCCTTCAATCTTAAATACTACTCTTCCGGTCCTTAATATAGGATCCAATTCTTAAATTGATTTTGGTCTTAAATATAAGATTCATTTCTTATATTTATCAATTTTCTCTAAATTACCCTATAGATACTCCCTCAACCATAATCAAGTAGAAGAGGGAGATGAGGTATTAAATAAGATGATTATGGTGTTTTAGGAAAAATGTGTCGCTTTTCCTATAATTAACTAACTTATCTAACTTCCTTAATCTAATCAAATTAGTTAAATGGGTCTTATATTAAGGACCGGAAGAGTACTAATTATAAAACTTTACTTGTAGTATATAAATAAAGTCTTATAAATAGGATCGAGATCCAAATTTCCTGGTTGTAAAATTTATTATTTAACAATATTAAAAATCAAAGTTATTGAGTGCATAAAACTCGTCCGTGCAACTCTTCTTTAACCTATCTAACACATCTTTAATTACATGTAAACATATTTCGTTTTGCGCATGTCTATTATACATAGTTAAATAGAAGAATTACTATAAAATCCTAAATAAACAACATAATTGCTAAAACTTATCAGTAACAACAAAGCATACTACAATGGATAACAACTGCTCATTTATAATTAAGGGGGTGTTTGGGAAACCCAAAACCATGGTTTCAGAAGCACTTTTCCGCAAAACGAGGTAATCTCCTCCACATATTTACTTCGTAATCCGTAAAAACACTTTGAAACCATGGTTTGGTTTCTATCCAAACTCCCCCTAAGACTTGCTAGTAATTATTTTATTTTTTTATGACCTAATTATAATTCTTTTTAGTTGAATAAGTGTTGTCCTTACCCCGGCGACCGTACCAGTGATAGCGGGGGTTCGCCCCCGCCTGGCCTCGCCTCCCCAGCACTGCAAGTCCTTGGTGGGGCCCCACTCCTAACTACATGACAATTGACACGTGCCTCCTCAGCCCATGCTCTGCCCAAGTGAGCTGTGAGCCCCCACCTCTCACGACATTACCTTACATTGGAGGATTAGTATGGTCTGCACAAGTTTGGTTCCATAGTCAAGCAGTCCCATCAATGACCCCTGCTACATTAAGGACACGATTTTTTTTGGGGTAAAAATCGGGTGATATTTTTCAATTGATAGCCAGAGAGCAGAGGTCACAACGTGAGTTTTACCGGACACGATTTATCATTATTAAATTAAACTCTTCCTACGTAACACGCGTTGATTTCCTTGTTACATTACCCCGCTGCCAATCACGCATAAGAATGACAATAATAGGCGAGACCTCACCTTTAACAGGTAAGGTCTGTGGTGAGGTGTATTAGTCTGAGTTTTGACCTGTGACTTTTGAAAGGCTTTTTAATTGGTTTGAGTCTGGTTTGCAATCAGGTCTGGTTAGGTTTATAGCCTGTTAAGAGGCTTTTTTAATAAATTTTAAACACACATAAATCAATTTAAAATTACAATAATTCAACCCAATTTATCTAAAATACAGACAAAAAATATGAAATTATCAAATTAAAACAATTTGTAAAATATATTCCCTTAGGTCCAAAAAAAAATCTAATATGAAAAATTATTAGAAAACATAATTTTACTCTAGTATAAAAATATCACTGCATCCCGTCTCTATTATAAAAATTAGTTGATAACTAGATCTAGTTTAAAATATGAAACATCCTTAATCCTTTTTATATTTTAAATTTATCATTTGTTCAAACTAATTTATTAACAAAATGATATTTGATCCTGTCGTTACACATAGTTGTTTAAAAAAAAATATTACATTTATTATTATTATTTATTTATTTAAATTAATTAATCAATTATTATAATAAGAATTAGATTGAGCACACATATATACGGTCTAAAACATAATAGGTCAATTATATATATATTCTGTATAAGATTAATATGAAAAGTATGGACCAAATAAATGAATGATGCTTTTTTTTTTAATGTAGTTATGTTTTCTTTTCCTGTTCAAATATGTGTCATTATACATACATCAATTATTTTTATTATAGAGAATGGAAATGAAATGAAGCATGCAATAGGCTCTGGATAACATGTTTATATGGGTAGAGTTTTCTCAATTAACCAATCAGAATAGCAGACTTTCTCCTGTCAGTTTACAATTTTAACCTTAAAAAAAAAAAGATAACAAGTCCAGGCTGCATAACAGGCTTACTATTAGGCCTAAGCCTGTCCTGATAAAATAAACAGGTCTTTTTACAGGCCTAAGCCTGTTCTGATATCTAAATAGGTCAAGCCAAGTCAGGCCATTTACAGGCTAGGTCACAGGTTTCTGACAGGCCGCCTAGCCTATTTTCACTCCTAATCACACACAAGACGACCAGTTGGCATTTCTGGGAGAGGGCTAAAATAAAAACCATGTATAGATCAAATGTTAGCTTAACAAGGAAAAAAGCTTCCATGGATGATGGACCCGTCATTTAGTCCCAGTCAATTATAATAATAACTTTTTGGTAAAAAAAACTATAATAATAACTCATATACTTAATACTACCTCATGTCCTTAATATAAGACCCAGTTTAATTTTTATTTTGATTCTAAATATAAGATTTCAATCCATTTTGTCTCTCATATTTATGTATTTTTTTAAGGTAGTCCTTCTAATGATAATAGTTCTAACCAATACACTTGATTAGCAAAGATATTTTAGGAAGGATAACACATATTTATTACAAATAACTAACTTAACTTGTTTCCTTAATCTCCGGAAGTAGTGTAAGAGTTAGTTTGATTTTTAATTTGGTCATAAATATAAGATCTCAATTCATTTTGTCTCCCACTATTATTCATTTTTTCTAAGGTAGTCATTGTAAGAGTTGTACGTATTAAAAGTTTAATCAAATGGTAGTTTTAACTAATACATGATCAGCAAAGATATTTTAAAAAAACAATACCTGATTATTACAAATAATTAATTGAACAAACTTTTTTAATTTACTTAAATTAGCATACCAGCTTTTAAAGGAGCTAGTAGCTAGTTTGACTGCCAGCTAGTAATTACTCCCTTTGTTCCTTATTATAAGAAACGAATAACTGAATTACGTTGATAAAAAAAGCAATTAAAATTAGTTAAGAACAATCAATGTGTAAAAAGTATAATTTTTTCCCTAAAATGTCCTCATTAATAAAGAGAGAGAACAATTAAATTATTAAAAAAAAGAGAAGTGGGAGGAAAAGAGAGTGTGAATTGGAGACAAAATAAATATGGGTAAAATAGGAAATCAACACAAAAAAGTAGAGACAACTTTTAAGTGTCTCTTGTATATAGAAACATGTCATAAATATCAAATGTCTCTTATAATAAGGAACGGATGGAGTAATTGGTAAATTACAATTAATCATTGGATTTGAATATTCACGTTATGTTCATAATATTATTAACACCAGAACATAAAAATTGAAGGGTTATATACGTGAACCCACAAGTCTGAACTCGACTGCAAATTATTAAAGCTCTTGAAGGGCAAGTTCATGAATGTTAACGCTGAAACATCGGATTTCAAAGTGATAATTATTGCACGTGACGGCTGAATTGAGGGAAAATTATGCTTCCATCCAGCGATGATGAGATCTCATTTGACTTTCAAAGGTCAGAGCTGTGTTAACTTTTTTAATTATTTAATTAATTAATTAAATATATAATCGCCGTCCTCATTGTGAACGGTGCTTATATTTGACTTTCGGGTCCCAAGCGTGTCATTGTTTGACTCATCCTCCATTTGACTTTCTTTGGCTAGGAAGGAGCCTCTTTACGCAAAGCAACTTCCAAGTGTGAACACCGTTATTTCCTTTAATTATCATCCTGCCTTTCTCTTTACCGACATTTATAATACTACTTTCGGTACGATTTATAAAAACTAATTGAGTAATTTAAACACATTAAGAAAAAAATTAAATTAGTTATTTATAATAAATATGTATTATCTTTTTTAAAATATCTTTACTAATCAAGTGTGTTAGTTAGAACTATTGTCTTTAGAAGAAATATCTTTAAAAAAAATTCATAAATATGAGAGACAAAAAGTTAAACAAGATCTTATATTAAAGACCGAAAATAATACTCATAAATCATGTAATTTATTCATGTTCATGTCGATCAGTATCAGAGTTCTAAGGAGCCGGCTTTAGCTGATCTGCATATATTTTGTTTCATAATAATGTGTTTGTATGCGCGCGCGCGCACGCACATATATATAGAGAGAAAGAGTAGAAAGAGTGATATCTTAAACTATTATCCAAACATTAGACTGTTTTTCCCCAACAAAATATTAGGCTGTTATATTAGAGGAACGCTTTTTTTTTAATACAATTATCTAAATCGAATACAGCGGGGTCAATTTTGACCATTATTAGGTCTATTAAAGGTAATTCTATTACATTATTTTTTTCATTCACAAATTAAATTTGAACCTTTGCTCTGGTGCAAATAAAATCAAGCTTATTCTATTTGACCCAACTAGCATATTGAATTAGAGGACTCCTAGTGACACATGATGCTTGTTGTTTATCATCAAACTCATATAGTCCTACTTATAGGGGAGAAAGCTAAGAGAAAATTTTTATATAAATGTATAATTTTACTTTCATTTATTATTATGTTGATTATGTGTTTATGGGGTTTAATATATATTAAATAGGGATATAAAATTGAAAAACTGTTAAATTTTAAATGAGAGTTAATAACATTTAAGATTTTTTGATTTTTGTATTGGAAGTAAATAATAAAGAAGACTAGTGGAGTAATATACAATATTACAAAACGTAGGCATCTATTCTTTTTTTTTTATTTTTATACTATCACTTTAAAAATGCCATCATAAGCTATCCTCATTTACATTCAAAGGTAAAATAGGTACAACTGCTACACTAGATACATTAATCCGTCACAAAGAGTTAATTATATTTATTGCCATATTAAGAATAAAAACATAAATCCCTGTTGCCGGTAAAAAAAAAAAATCATAAATACCTATGGCTCTGATAGATGTTGTGGGCCAAAAAAAAAAATCCCTGACTTTAATTGAAGAGGAACTTTTTATAATGGAAATCAAATGTACGTAATTGTTGAGATAAAAAGGTATCAGTGATTACTTTAATCGGCATTAATTAATATAATTTACCTTTTTATACATTACATGAGTAAACTGTCAGACAAAAACTTGAAAAGTAAAACGTGAATTAAAAAAGGAAATGACGAACGAACCATATGTCCAAATTTGAAAAGAGGCCCCATCTTTGACTCACTGCGGTCTCCATTGTCTATAAATACTAAATACTACAAACTACTTAGTGGACATACTCATACCTACTCAATACATTGAAATAAACAAAACCGACCAGCAGGAGTAGATAAGGAGACAGAGTCCAAATGGGAAGCAAAAAAGTGGAGTCATACTTTGTGTTCATGAACTTTGATCCCCAATACGAGCGTCTTCGAGCTGATCGGTCAGTTTTAATTGTACTTTATCTTACATATACCTTCCCCTTCCACCATTTTCACACTACTCATTTTGTGTTCTGCCTGCGTGTTGTTGTAACTAGAACCAAGAGTGGGGCGCATGAACTTGATGTCTACCTCAGTAAGAAGCACGATGAACTGTTAGCAACCACCCTCGAGCCAGGAAGCTACACCAAGATATCTTCTTTGGTCATTGTTGATGGATTTGCTGTCAAAATCACGGAAGATCAAGTACGTTTTCCTATTCATATTATATGGCTTCTTAGTGAATAAACACAAGAGATCGTGTGTGATCTGATGTGTTTTCTCCTGTGGGTTCGAATTTGTCTTTGGAACAGGCGAAAGTGCTTAGATCTGCAAAAGGAGTGAGGGTTGTGGAGAAAAACCAGGAAGTGGCTTAGTATAGGGGACAAGATCCGCGTTTCAGAAGAAAATTAACTGCGCTGGTTTAACGATTTCTGAAGAACTTGTGGCCAGGCCACCGAGTGAATGTTTGATATGTTTGAATTTTCCTTCAATTATCAGCTGGGAGCTGACAATTAATGTTGTTGAAGTGATCATTAATATTGTGGTACCTCATTACTTCAGCAAATATTTATATATATATCTTCTTCTTTTTAATTTATTTTTCTTTCAATTATCGGAATCTGTCAGGCGTGTCATTCCCAATTTGCAAAGCTAAGTTTCATATGACCTTACCTGTTCTTTGTTCCGAAGGAAAAAATTCACATATATCGGTTATATTTCTACATAATATTACTAAGTAACAGAAAACGTGTTCGATATTGAATGCCGTCGGACAATGGTGAAGTCGCTCAAAGTCCTTGTGAGTAATAAAAGAGAACATGCAGCGTCATTTAATTACTCTAGTTTGCTGCATGCCGCTGGATGGATTTGTCTGTAAACTAACTTAAGAAAATTGCTATTTTGCATTAACAATTAGGTGCATGCTTTTCTCAAACCTGTACTGTATATGACAAGGGAGAGTGGAGATTGGAGAGCATGAAAGCGAAAGAACCAGGCATTGATCAGTTGCTACCTAGCAACTAGAGATGCTGAATAGTGAAGGGGAATTAGGAAATTGATTCCCTCAGAAAGTGTTATGTTGTAGAACGATGTCTATAAAGGACCAAGGAATCGGTACTAGGCAGCATAGCCATGCACGGATAGGTGATATTGTTGACAGCACCATAAGTGACTAAGCAAGAGTTTATGAACAATATATAGGGGAAATATATATATAAGCGGGCCAGCCTTTTGCTTTAACCATGATTCCTTCAACACCAAGAACACTACTGTTAATAACCAAGTGCTCGCCACCAGGAAGATTGGCAGTAACAGAAGAGAGTACAGCCTACATATGTCGCACGTGTTTCCATGTTTGAACAGTAAGGTTAGAGTTCGGGTTGAGGAGAAAGCCTGTACTGCAGTCTATAGGGGGTCCCATCATTCACATGGCAGGCCTCACAAGGTGGTCCTTCGTTCAAATCCTTGTGCTGCCCGCTCTCAAGATTTGTATATATGGGCCCCATTTGGAAGAGCGATGAAAATCCTCTCAAATACTTATCTCGTATTCTGTAAATCATTATTAAATAACTACTTATAAACTGTTTATAAACTGTTCTAAATAGGTCTATGATCATCGTTGAAGGCTTTTCTGGGGCTTTTCCAAATAGAGGCACATGGGGCTACCCGCTTCACTCGGACGAAACTGGGAAAAATACACGCACCTGCAGTGACACAGACGCATTAGCTGGACCATATATGATGAGACGACACGCACGACTCATAAGCAGTTTAAAGGATTTGGCAAATGAATGAATTATTAGTTAGTTGACGAAGGTGGGGTGAGATGGAGGGAGGGTATCAAGCATTATTCACTCCCCCTAAGGAACTCCAGACTAATGAGCAAAATCTGAAGTCCCTGAGGGGGAGTGCGCAATGAAATGGTACCAGTTCATCAGAAACAGGCTTATATATATATCAGGCCTTCCAATGAAGAAAAGAGGAGGCTTGTCTACTCAATCTCGTAAGGGCTTCTTGTCTGATGCTGTGCTGATAAGAATATTTGGGGGGTCATGGCCGCAGGAAGCCCTTGAGAGAGAGAGTAAACAACCAATCCCTTCACTGATTCTTTGATGAAAGGGATTATTAAGCTGCTCACCCCATTTTTATACTGCAACCAAACCAGAATCTGTCTTCACTTTGTGTGGGGTCTACAATATTCATATCACATTATCACTTGCCAAATCCCACCCCCTTGTTTCCTCCTCCGATTTGTTTTTATTTGATCCTCATATATAATTCCATCCCATAGACAGCATTGATACCGTTGTCTAATATTGCTTCACTTGGTTGGCACGAATCTAAACCAGATACGTATATGTTGATTGAAGTCTTTGAAATTTAATTCATATATTTGTCTTGCTGGATGGATGCCACTTAGCGGCAGGCTTCAGAGACAATGAAGGCATCTCTCAACCTTATCTTCAACTCTTCATGAATCACAGGGTCAGCGCTTTAATTAGCATATTATCACACACACACACACACACACACACACACATATCTACTTCCTATTTGACATTCCTTTCGTATCCTGTTTTAATTGCTTCGCTTTCCGATATTGCGTTTGCATGCAACGACCCTAATTCGCTGATTAATTCCTTGGTGCGCAATGAGCACGTGTGCCTTTTTTGATATTGAAAAATAACAGTGTGCTGCAATTTATTAGTGGCTGAAGACATGAATTAGAAGAATTTTACAGTTGACGAGACGTCAATTTCCTGAATGGCATGCTAATTAAGGAGGTTGTAATATATTATACAAATATCACAGTAAAATCCTATTTTAGCCCTCACAGTGGAAGGAGACCCACCATCTCATTTATTTATTTAATATTTATTGACCTGAGACCCCTATTTTGCATAGTATTTTTATTCTCGTAACGGTCGAATGCCTGCTTGAAGAGGGATGTCATGTGGGTATTGGGTGGAACGTACTATGATAGTGGGCATCTTTCCCATGGATGGCCCAGAAATTCAAATTGACCCATTAACAAGCGAGCTTTTTGTTCGAATACAAGGCAATGGAATGTGAATGCTTCAGGCCCCAAACAATTGAATGTTTTAAAAAGGGAAAATCATATTAAAGGTATCTATACTTTCTCTTAATTTTTAATTTGGTATCTATGTATTTTTTCTCCATTAATTAAACATTTAATTTTATCTTTTTAGTAACATTAGCTGTTATAATTTTGTTCTATTGATATTTTTAGTCTCTATATAAGGATTAATGATGTTAATAGAGGCAAAATAAAGATTTAGTTAAGAACAAAAAACACATAGATACCAAATTAAAAATTGAAAAAAAGTATAGTTACTTCCAATATGTTTTCTCTTTTAAAAATATCCAAACATTGTTTTTCGATTTTTTTTTAAAATTCTTAGATTAATTAATTAATAAATGACTGAACCGCTGTGGAATTGTCAAACGTCAATTGAGAAGGGGTATAAGGACATTCCCGCTCCCAACCTTTGGCGCGAAAAGCGGCGCGAATTGCTTAGGGTTCGAACGGGAGGTTGATTCTAGGAACTTGGTTTCTCCCAAGGCATGGGTTCACCTCAGGCGAAGCGCCAGCGACAGAGCAGCGACGGCGAGATTGACACGTCACCATTAGCATCGAATCCTGAAAAGTTGTCACCGGTGGTGGTCTTCGCTCATGGTGCTGGAGCTCCTTCCTCATCTCCTTGGATGATAAGGTTTTTCATTTTCTCCCCCCACCCAATGAAAGGAAGAAAGAAGCATTCGGCCATTTTCATTTCTCTCTGCTCCCAGCTTTTAATTGCTTTTCCAAATGCCGTTGAATGCCCAACATGTACTCAAAATGACGAAATCGATGGACGACAGGAGAAAAAACTCGAGTTTGTGTCTGGGCGCGCGCGTGTTTTGCAACCTAAAAGACAATGAGCCTTATTTTTTATTTTTTGATTACTAATGCTTATTTCGTCTCCTATTCAATAAGAAAGCCCGGTTCCCTCAAATTGAGCTGTGGATTGTAGTTTTTGCGTCATTTACGCCATATCCCCTTTATTCTAAGTGTAAACGGCATGTTGACGCTTTAGGTTTATCGTTGTCTGCCTTAAAAGCGGTTAAGACTCATTTCGTAGTTCTCAGGGGTTAGGACTCAAAACCAGTTTAAGATATATCCTTGTCTAGTCATGATAAACTATTCATACATAATATGCTTAAATCTTACAGACTCTTGTCAAAACAATTTCGCTGTTTTGTAATTGTAACAGATGGAAGGATATGTTAAGAGAGGCGCTGCATGCTGCTGAAGTGGTCACCTTTGACTATCCTTGTGAGTATCTTTGGAGCTAAATTTCTTGTATTCCATTATTGTAACATTGATTGTTGTCTGTCTCTTTCAATTATCAAAATTGGATATGTCCACTGCAGGATCTTTATGCGTTTGTCATTTTTATTTCATTCCCTCGTACTTGTGATTGCGGTTACCTAGTGTGTGACCACCACTAATGAAATTGACAAATATATGCCTCATGTGAATTAATGGATTTGCTAGACATTTCTGGTGGTAAAAAGAGGGCTCCTCCGAAGGCAGAAAAACTGGTTGAATTTCACTCTGAAATTGTAAAGAAAACTGCTGCTAAGTTTCCTGGTCATCCCCTGATCCTGGCGGGAAAATCAATGGGTTCTAGGTATTTTGCATCATTATTTTGCTCCTTGGACCTATGTCACCAAGATAAGATATATTGCCCGGAGGTATCTCATGTCTATGCTATTTTCTTGTAGAGTTAGCTGCATGGTCGCTGGTATGAAAGAAATTAATGTCTCTGCTGTAGTTTGCTTGGGCTACCCATTAAAGGTTTGATGTTCTTTTTGCATAACTTCTTAGAACTGAACTCATTGTTCTATATCTGATTATGCTGGAGGCATGGGGATCTAAGTTTACTAACTTGTATTAATCGGTCTTACTTATATACCCTGTCTGGATCATAACGCAATGAAACTTGAAGCTGCTATTTCTTTCATTTATGCATCTGCTGCTGTGTATGAAGAGTTAGATTGTCAAGCAGTTTCGCTTATGGATTGCCTTGAGTAATTTTCGTAGTTCAAAATCCTGTGAATGGCTCCCTAATGTTCACAGTGAAAGAATGTATGGAACTTACCTTAACCTCATTAGCAGATATAAAGGTAACTCTGTAGACAAAAATTTAAAGTGTAATGCTGTAAGAGCAATGACTGATTCTGCTTACTTTTTAGGAGGTTCAGAATTGGGCATGGACAGGGTGCTATTAAAGTAATTTTGACCTATATAGAAAGTTAGGGGTAAACCAAGAGTGACACCACAGGAAGTTATCAAAAGTGATCTTTGAGTAATTGATATGTTTTAAGAATTGGTTGTTAATAGAGCAGCACAATAATGTCGAGAAAATCATATGGTTAATCCCATTTAGTGTTAGTGGGATAGGATTTGTTGTTGTATGATAGTACCGTCATACATGAGGGTGGTGAAATTGATGGCGATATTTCGCATAGAATACAAGTTGGTTGGTTAAAGTGGAGGAAGGCTACCGAAGTTATTTGTGATAAAAAGGTACCTGAGAAGCTTAAGGGAAAATTTTATCAGACTGCTATAAGACTAGCTATGTTATATGATAGTGAATGTTGGGCGTCAAAGGGAAAACAAGAGCATAAAGTTAAGGCAGTAGAAATGAGGATGTTGAGGTGGATGTGTAGTCATACAAGAAAAGATAAGGTTCGAAATGAAATTATCCGAGCAAGAGTAGGTGTGCCGCCTATCGAAGAGTAAATGGTTAAACATCACATGAAGTGGTTAGGGCACGTGCAGAGAAGGTCATTAGAGGCCCTGATGAGACGGGTAAATCAAACAGTTTGGAATCCTATAAAAAAAGGCAGAGGAAAGCTGAGAAGAACGCTCAACGAGATCATTAAACGGGACCTCCTAGTCAACAACATACTTAAAAACTTGGTTGTTGATAGACCACATTAGCGTCATGCGATTTTTGTAGTCGATCTCACCTAGTGGGATAAGGGTTATTGTTGTTGTATTAGTACCGTCAATGATCCTGAGGAATTTAAGTGTGCAAAGTTGTTCAAGGGGCGTTGCATTATACTTTCTGTCCAAAGAAAATTATCGTAATTGGCTACTGCTGAAGAGACTGTTGAAGTTATTTCTTTGAAATGACAAATTATAAAGTTTCCAGGCCAGAGGATTAAAGGAGGTTTTTCTTTTAACTCGTGGTAAAATGAGGGTTTTAGTATTGCTGAGTCTATTGTTCTTATTTTAATTAGTAATCATTCTATTCTTTCAGTTTGACTTTAGATCAGTTATGTAACTTTGGCCGCATGACTTCTTTCTGAAGTTGTTGCCTTGTGGAGATATGAAACTTATGATTTCTTCCATGCTTTCTCCAGACCGAGGTGTCTTTTATACGTTCAGTTTTCTGTTCCTGCAAGCATAGGTGTGCATTGTGTTGCATTATTTGAAGGACACGAAGCATAAATAACTTCAGTTACATAATTTAGCTGCTCAATGTTTCAGGGCATCAATCGAGGGATCAGAGATGAAACACTTTTAGAGCTGACGGTTCCTACAATGTTTGTACAGGTAGTCCCTACAGCCATAATTCTCCAGTTTGACAGTGTTGAAGCAGAGGTGGATTTTTGAGTGATTAGTATTGCAGCTATGGGTTATTTATCATTTTGATGAAGTTATTGAGTGAATTACAGCATTATCTACCTCTTCTTTGATATGTGCTTCTCTATGCTCTGAGTTTCTCCTGATGTTTGCCTTTCTGAGATTTTCTTGTGCAGGGCAGCAAGGACAATCTCTGTCCACTTGAGATGTTAGAAGCCACTCGGAAGAAGATGAAACCCCTCAGCGAGCTGCATGTCATTGATGGTGGTGATCACTCTTTCAAGGTTGGCAAGAAGCATCTGCAATCAAAAGTTTCCACCCAAGACGAAGCTGAAGATGCTGCTGTTCAGGCCATTGCAGCCTTCGTCTCCAAGTTACTTGAGGGATAATGAATACCCGACATTTCTATTTTTTGTCTTGCCGTGACAAGAGGATGGCTATGCACTTTGTTGTTTGTATGTCGCCCTTGTGCTTTTGTAATATAGTCTGTAATTGTATTTAGAGTAAATTATAGGGATCTCTTTTGTAACTACAATCCTTGGCTAGCAGAATTGAGGACCCCACTTGTTATGGGCAGTGTTAAGTTAACTTGCTGTAACTTTCCCCTTGACAGTGTTTCAGTTAGTAGTGCTTGGTTTTTTTTTTTTTTTTTAAACAATAGTGCTTGGTTAGAGATTACAATTACATGCATTTTGGAAGAGATGGTTCATGGGCGGCAAACAACTGACTTTTTATTCGTCATATCAAAGGAACTCAACACACCATAGCCAAATGAGATTGACCTTTATTATTATTACTACTTCTTACTTCTGATCCTAATTATAAGACTTTATTTATATACTATAAATGAAGTCTTATAATTAGAATTAGAAGTAATATTATATATATTTATATATATTCAACTTTTGAGTACAATATGTATTTTACCACCACAGAAGTGGTGATTATTTCAAGATAGGCACCTATCCTTTTCTTTTTCTTCATCGCGAACAGAGACACTGCTTATTTCCGTTGTGCAGCTGTTCCTTTCATCACTTCTGCGGGAGTAGATTCCTAACAGGAAACTCAAAATCAAACACTAATAAGAAGGAAATATTTCATATTTCATAATATAACGTTTTGTTTAAAATATTAATTTTGTTTGACATAGTATCCCTAACTAATTAATTAAATTCTTCCAACTAATAATTTTATATGAGATAATTTTGATATTTTACAACAAATAACTAATTATAACTAAGTGTTTCAACTTGCATGAGATAGCTAATTACTAGTCAAAAAATGGAAAAAGGAGTAAATAACATGGATATTTATACATTTGGGTGGGATAATATTACCTTCCTGGTTCGACAGTTTTCCTTATCACTGTCGCTGTCGCTGCTGCTGTCACTGTCACAGTTGTTATGACGGGAGACGCCGTCCTTAATCCTGCGGAATAAGTTCCTATCCTTTTTATTGGTGTGGTCTCTGTTTTTCCAGTTAGGATTCCCAAAGCATGTGGTGGCTGTTCCACGAGGAAGAGCAGGTGGATGGTTGGCGTTAGTTTGGGTGATGCGGGCCTGCACAATTAAAAGGCTGATCTCCGTTTTGGACTCACCCTGCTCGGTGAGGTTTTTTGGGGATGACTGAGTTTCAGTGTAGCAATGAGTCTCTGTTTTGGAGGAAGTGTTGATGTTGGTATTGGTATTGGCATTGCCTTGGCTTTTGAAAGCCTTGTTGGTCATCTCACAGATCTTCTGGCCTAACTTGGTGTGGTGGCTCTGTTTTGGGCACATTTCATTGTGTTTCTGACACTGAACAGAAGCCATGGATGGATTTTGCCAAGAGTTTTCTTGCTTCTTTGCCTTGCTTTGCTGCTATGTAGACTGCGTTAGAGCCTTTTATTGGCAGTTTGGAATCCAGGCCGAGTGGGCGCTCCATCTCTCCACTACGGATCATGATATTTAATTATTATTGTTATTATTGATGATACTGTGATATTATATGTATACACATTGAAGGGTTCTTCGAGCCCATGTCCACGCTTCACTCATCACCTTGAAAATTATGCGATAGCTTACTTGGGGAGATATGCCAACTCAAGAAAGAAAATGGAACCTATGCTCTTTGTCATGGCACTGCAAGTGGGAGAATAAAGGGGGCAAGATTGATGGCCTAGACAGGGTGAACAAGTTCTTTCTACCCAATCTGTCCAATAAAAAATGAATTAATAAACCCCACTGTGGAATTCGTTTGTGCTGTGAATTTTCCTCACAAATTCAGCAGACATTCTTCAGTTTTTTTATTCTCGGAAGGAAGCTGGTGCTAAATGGGCCGCATCCCTTGATAAGAACTCCTATCATCGTGGTTTTTATTTGGGTGAATTAGTAGGCTAATGTTATTTCAACAATTGGACTTTGGATCAGCCGCATCCAAATGTTTAAGACCCAATAGCCCACTTGTAGAGATGATGATAAGAACATTATGAATCCCTCAGGGAGTCAGTGGCCATTTCAAATGAAGAGGAGGCAGTTCCAGATGACAATGTCATTTGTAATGACAATCAATAAGAGCCAAGGCCAATCATTGTGTTATGTTGGTTTGTTCTTGACAAAACCCGTCTTCACACATGGTCAATTTTATGTTACATTGTCAAAGGTTAAATGCATGCATGGTCTTAAAATTGCTCTTGACCAAAGCAATAGGAGGAAGACTTCAACAACGAATGTTGCATACAACGAGATATTCCCCAATCTTTGATGGTAAAAATCTTCTTATGATATAATTCTTTGTAAGTGATGACATTCCTTTGGTAGCCAAATTATGTTTAATGTAATCTGTCGAGAGATGTATGCACTAGGTTCGTTTAGTTCTCTTAATGTGTTTTGGTGACATAATTGCTTTTTTAATTTAATGCTTCCCTCGCATCGCACTGAGATGGTTGCGCTAGTTATGAATTACCCCTTTTAGTTATTTTTATAAGAATTAGATACCTAAATTACATTATTTAAGAAAATAATTAAAAGTAATAAATACGTAAAAAAAGAACTTTTCCCCCAAGTATATCCTTATTTATAAGGGGATAAGTAAGAGAGAGAAATAGAGTAATAATGAAAGAAGGTATAAAAGAGAGTGTATTATGACAAGTTGTTAACTTTTTAATTATGCAATACGTAAAATTAATCAGTGACAAAAATGGTAAAAATACATTAAATGTTCAAACACCTCCAATCAGGCTCTTATAAAAAGGATTAATGCAATTCAAATTTTAGACTCTTATAAAAAAAATACCAGAGGGAGTAATTTAAAACTGACCGAAATTCACCATTTTACATAAAATGCTGATAGTGTACGTTAAGTAAAAGTTTTAAAAGGCTTTGTTAGTCATGGAGGAAATGTGTCATACAACCCATTAGCGTTATAGTGGAAATTTAATTTAATTTGCTTAAGAAGCATATCAAAGCCTATCATCTACAGACTTGCTTCCAATAAGATATTCATCTTCACTATTTTAATTTGTCCTAACAGCCTCACATGGGGTAAAAGTAGAAGTTTAAAGGCTTCAAAAGTGCCAACGCATGACAATTAAAATGGTTTTGGATGAAGTCTAAGTATAATTCGTGCTACTCAATGGTGTATGTATGAAGCATAGAAATCATTTTCTTCCTCGTCCTACATAGTGGCTATATCAGTTTAATTAGCCCACTCAAATTGCGCAGTGTTAGATCAGACCAGTCTTTGTCCTATGAATCAGATTCATTTTTATGGTTTTAGAATAATGAGTTAACAGTCATGTATAATTTCTAATTAATAAAAATCTTAAGCATCAATATTTAAAGGTGATTATTTATTCAAGTTTAGAGAATAAAACATCAAAATAGCAGTGAATAATAAATCTAAAGTCTCATGAAATATGTATAATTAAGTTTATCTCTATCATGATTTTCCTTTTCATAATATTGTATCGAATCATTGACATATAGAAATTAATCCAAGTTAATCACCAACTAGCTGTAAACTAAAAAGTATATTGTTGATTATCATTATTTTCAGCGAACTGCCTGGCATTTGAGTCTTGAATGTGTGTGTTTATGGACCTCTATTCCACACGGATAGTAAATTGAACATGGTAATGCATAAATGGATACTAAATATGTATACTGGTAGTTCAAATAGCTTTTTTTTTTCCTTTTAAGTAATTATAATTCTTAGTTTTTACATAAAGTTCCATAATTTCAATAATATATAATTTCTTATTTTGAATAGTACAATACATTATTTCGCATGCAAGAGAACTTCAATTTTAATCACTTAAAAAACTTGAATAATTTCTTTTTCTATTATTAGTGTGATTGTCATTTTTTTTTCCTTTTCTCATCATAAACCACAGGCATGCATGTTCCATCGTTTTTCAAGAAGCGTTTACTGACATGAATAACTACAAACAAAAGGTTTAAAAGAATAATATGGAGCGAGCGAGGAATGAGAAATTGGAATTGCTGGAAAAGTAGGGCGGAAAGAAGAACGAAGCAAGAACAAGAGGAAATTGAAGCTGCCAAGCCAAGTGAACAAGGAAAATAGCTAATGAAAACCAAACGTTATTACATTACTATAGAAGGTGGCACACCCTTGTCTTATTTAGCGTGTGTCTATACGTATCACACTGCTAAGCAACATTATTACAAGCATACATTAGTTGGCCTTTTATTTTACTAGTGATATATGAGCAAAGAGGCAAGGCTTCAGGTAACGTAACAGTGGGCATCATAGGATCCTCCTATGCTGCTGCTTTTCAGTTCTGCAGATATACAATAATGTAACATAGTTAGAACCTTAATTGAGAATTAGCACCATGCATGAGAAATTAATGAAATATATAGATGCATGGATGGTGGCATAATGAATGAATGAATTAAGCTAAGGTTAAATATTATAAGAAACATGCCTTCCTCTTGTGGCAGTTTTCACCGTCGCTGTCGCTGTCGCTGCTGCTGTCGCTGCTGTGACCAGACAAGCCATCCTTGATTTTCTGGAACACGTTCTTCTTATGCTCCTTCCTGCGGCATTGCTGAGATGTTGAATTAAGGTTTTTGTTGGAGTTGGGATTATTATTATGATGGTGTCCTTTGAACAGCTCAGACACCTTCTGCCCCAGCGAGCTGCGCTGTTGCTGTTGCTGATGGCAGCTTTGTTCGCAGCTTCTGTGACACTGAACCGACGCCATTATGAGTTCTCCGTCTTCTTCCTCTCTTACTCTCACACTTATCTGCAACTTAGCCTTGCAGAAAATGATCCATAAGCTCTTGGTCTTTTATACCCATTCACTTGGGTGGCCTGCTCCATCATATTTCGTGATGCCTTCAATTAAACAGATACTTATTCGCCTTTCTATCCCTTCTCCCACCGAACATATTCCAACTCCATTTTTCAATATCCTTTCTTCACGAATCAATTCATTTGATTTATATAATTAATTGTGCCACTCCTTAATAATTATTACGTACCCACTTCATGCTCTTGTTTAATCTATGCATCCTTCTACGCTCTTCCTGGAGGTTCGGTTTAATTTACATCAAATTTAAATTTTCCAGAGAATTCTGTATATGTGATTGAAAGGGAATGACGAAAATCGGGAATATACGATATCTGATGAACTGTCCTCAACTTGTTTATGCTTAGCTGTTTGGTGAACCATGACATATATTTATATCCCTCGGTGCAAGTAAAGGAATATAGCATCCACATCACATGCAACTTATAAGACCAACAAGAAAAATTACAAGTTTCTTATCAAGATACACAAGTAAAAACCGACCCGAAAATTCTAGCTACTAAATAATTTTATATAATAAGATATATTTCCATTGTCATCAGCTCCAGTATTTTTCACGATATATTAATTATTAGGTCTGAGAAATAATATTTTCATTGCAAATTTTTTAATTGCTTCCTATTTTGAGAGTGAAAAAAATGTTACATTCACATGATATGCGAATGTTTTAAGCGAAAAAAATCTGATCTAATCAGTCTTCCTTCGCACTTAAAAACATAGTCACCACCTCTATCATCGCCATGGCTCGCCATTATCGTCATATTGGTCGCTACCACCATTAATGTTTGTTTTCATCCACTGCCTTGTTATTACCCTCATCATAAAGTTGATATTTTGAGGAATGTGATCTTTCCTGTGTGTCTCGAGTGAAAAATCTATCCCTATACCAATGTCCTCTAAATATTATTCTCAGTTTATTAGGCAGTATATGGCAGTTTTTCAAATATGAATAATGAAATTAAGGATGATGTCGATGTAAAATAGAAAATTTATGTCTTATATATATATATATATATATATATGTATGTATGTATCATCACTAGTCTCAAGGTTGTCCATATACCTTTTCACTGTATGATGCTTGATTGGTGAGGCATTAAAAACTATATTTGATTTTTAAGATTTTTACAAGGTGCAAACTTGTCCCGAATATTTTTACTTAGGAGTACTAAGCAATTAAAAGTTTTTTTGGTGTAAATTTACCTAAAAGTTTAAAATTGTAACAATCTTATCTTTTATTATGGCTAAAAAAAATGTTAGTTTTTCACGGTAAATATTAGTTTTTTAACCATAGGGACAATATTATTGCACTTTAAAATTTTTAGGACAATTTTTTATCCAAAAAAAAAAAAACCTTCCAAAGGTCCAGTACTTTTAAATGAAAACCTTTGTGACAAATTTGCACATTAACCCATTTCTATTTATACTTTTGTTCTATGAAAAATGAGAATTACGTACGATAATCAATTAATCTTTGGGTACTAAGTAACCTGGAGAATAATCTAGATAATTAATACATATCCCTACGTAGGTGAGGCTAATATATAATCGATCTAACAAATTAGAAGGCAGATGACAGGGGATGTGGCTGTGGTGGATGTTTGAAAATGCATAAATAATAATGGGAAGTGGTCCAGCTACACACCCAACCAAAGGGCATTACAAAAACAAGTAGTGGGAATTCAAACATTCTAGAATTAACGTTTGATGGGTCAAACGACAGTGAAATTGCCTGCGATCTTTTTTGGTCATTTTGAACATCTAGAAGATGACACAACAAGTAATTAACGCACTTACGCAAGCCCATCATTTTGCTGGTAATTATTAATTAATATACTAATCGTTGAGATGTGAGACTGGAGCTCCTTTGACCCCCAGAAAAAAGACCCAGATATTAGAAGATAGCAGAATCATACATGGCTCTGTTGATTATATGGTACAAGTCTCATTGAATCAGTAATTTTACTCCCAGGAATGAAAACGATGTCTACCGAATTGGGCAGTTCTTGGATTCCCATGCACGTTGGGACTTACCCAAAGCCTTCTAGACGGCCTTCTAATACAGACAATAATATATAATACTCTATCCATTTTATATATCTATTACACCTTTTTTTTTCGTTCAATTTTTCCACAACATCATTTTACCTATCATCTTTTATTGATTAATCTTATTTCCCTTTCTCTCATAATATGGACAATGAGGGTAATTGATAAATATGTATATGGCAATAAAAATCTTAATCTATGTGAGATGACCTTAAACAACAGGAGGTAGTAGTTAATGATGATGACGACGACGACAAAATTAATAAAGAGAAAATCCCTTTTAAAATTCCTATGCTCTCAAGGCTATATATTGACATTTAATTTCCACCAAATTAATACTAACCCAGCCCAGTTTTCATCTACTCCGCTAATATTGAGGATGACGGAAGCGAACCGGTCCAAATCGTGAGCTTGATGGTTATGGTGGCATATTTAATTGTATGTTGAGATCATATTAACAATGAAATAGAATGAAGATTAATTAAAATCATTATAATAATGAAAGAGATATCTACTAGTCAAACTCGCGTAATTTAACGCTTTGCTAAGAGAGGTGGGTTGCATCAGTCTCCACCGGTTCTTCTACATGGGCCGTTGCCATACCAAAAGAAGGCAAAACTCCAAAGAGTTAAATCTATTTCTCTCACAAGTTCAGGGTCGTCCAATCCCTTTTGTCCTTTTTCCAGCAAATTAAGATTCTCATTCTCCGCTGGATATGTGTGTCTCCTGGCTAGCCCCAGTGTAAATGGCACACCCTTTGTTTCACCACAGATATATGATTACTGCAATCATTTGTCTGAATGGCACAGATTCATATATATATACAGCAAGCTAAAGCCTAGAAGCCCTCAAGATCAGAGCTCAGGCTCTTTCTTTTATCGTTAAATCTTAGATACTCCATTGCTTCCTGCAAATTTCTACAAGGAAACCGTCTAAGTTTGACTTATCTCGTAAAGTTCATCAGCTACCGCTCTCCATATCTACAGTCAATATTGCATCTTTTGCAAGTTCTCTCAAAGGAAGATTAATGGGTGATCATCCCCCGAAACAGTCAACCTCTGAAGGTTCTTCATCTCTCTTCACTATATTACTTTTGCTTTATCGTATGTTCTTCAACTTTCACATAATAATTTGGAGGTATATAGGAATTGATTTGTCAATAATTACGGATACACTTTATGTAAATATGCGCATTCATTGAGACAGCAGTTTAACGATGGACGCAGAAGCGATCAGTATCGAGTGGGAGTCCATAAAGATGAGTGAGCAAGAGGAGGATCTCATCCACAGGATGTACAGGCTCGTCGGCAACAGGTATTGCCTAATTATTACGTACCTTAGATCTCTCAGCGCACATCTCTCCATTCTTTTCTTCACTTTCCATCTTCTTATTTTCCTCTCGCTGTGTTCTTTGTTGTGAAGTTCTGTAACTATATGCCCATCTCAACTCACAAGCTTCAATTATCACTTCAACCATTAAATTGCAACCCCATCACATAGCTTATCTGATGAAGTTTCCCATAATTGTGCCACTTTTATCCCTGCTTAAACATGATTCAATGTCTTGGTGGTGTTAGTTTCTCTCGAATTACACAGAAAATCTGGCACATACAAGTTTTACTGGCTGTTAAGTTAGGGGGGCTGACCTACCTATCTTCAATAATTGATATCGATTCAGGTGTCCTGATATTTTGAAACTGTTCCTTATCGATCATTCACTGTAAGTTTTACCTTTAGGGCTCAGAAACATAAAAAAGCTTTCGTGAATAAAAAGTTTGGGGAGACAGTTACCTAGAGTTACGTTACTTAGTCGTAGAATTTTGCTGGATAATATATAACAACTTGTTAACTGGACGATAAAACCGGGCCAGGTTGACTTCACCGCTCCTTATCCTCAATTTATGGTCAATATTTATCTTATCAAGTGGGCACTCTGGACACAACATATATTAGGCTCTTCCATATAATTAATTTTCATTAATACTCCTCCGGTCCTTAATATAGGACCCAATTTCTGAGTTGATTTTGGTTCTAAATATAAGATCCATTTATCATATTTATCAATTTTCTCTAAATTACCCTTATAAATACTCCATCAACCATAATCAAGTAGAAGATAAAGAGGAGTATTAAGAAAGATAATTATGGTATTTTAGGAAAAACGTGTTACAATTTTTATAATTAACTAACTTACCTAACTTTCTTAATCTAATTAAATTAGTTAAATAGGTCTTATATTAAGGACCGGAGGAGTATAACCTTCCATTTTTTGAGGTTTGTATACCTCTTTCGCAAAATATTATTCTAGGATACTTGTCTCGCACGTGTATTTCATTAGGGGTGTTCACGGGACAGATCGGGACCGGGACAGGCTCGTCCCGATTCCGTCCCGATGAACAGTAACGGGACAGATTTTCTGTCCCGTGTCCCGGCTCGTCCCAGGGTTGTCCCGGTCCCGGTCGGGACGGGACCGGGACGTCCCGAAATAATTTTTTTATTTTTTAAAAAAAATTTGATTTTTTTAATTATATTTTTTTGAGTTTAAATCTTATAAAAACATCTTTTTTATTTGGTTGGGCACTCTTAAAGAAAAGCTCAAAATATTACATATAATAGTTATTAAAAACTCTAAACAAAAGCTTTTAACACAATAAAAACTTGCTAAAAATTCTAATCATCAATAATCTCAAATCATTAACAAATATAAAAACTCTAAATAAATATATCCATAGTTCCATACAATAGTCTCAAATCTTAAAAAAAATAAAAAAAATGATATTATATAAAAAATTAAAAAAATTAAATTTTTTTTTAAAAAAAGGGACCGGGACGGGACGACCCCGTCCCGTGTCCCGTCCCGTCCCGTCCCGTCCCTTTTTTGTCCCGTCCCGAAAAATTTCGGGACGGATCCGTCCCGTCCCAATAAGACCGGGACCGGGACGGGCCGGCCTTGAACACCCCTATATTTCATTATCACATGGATACAACATACAAGTACAAATAAATATATATATCGAATAATTGTTTTTGGTCTTACCAGCATTTTGAAGTAATCTATGCAATATGTTCTTCTGAATTTATCACGTTTAAACTATTTATGATGAATGAAATGTGGTGCAGAGATAGTTAATTTATTATTAGATCGGGAAGGGGTTGATATATGTTACTGTTAGTCTTTAATTTTTGTGTTTGGTGTAGCTGGTTACATTACTTTTAGAAGGAAAAGTGCCATGCATGCATGTGCAGTCTTGTCTTAGTCTATTGTAAAATAAGAAATATAGATTCAGAGTGAGAAGTGGTTAAAGTTCATGAATTTTGAGTTTTAATTACATATCAAACCTGTTAAATAAAAATGTCATGACTATATGCTAAGCTATACATAGTAGTACTGTGAAACAGATTTTTCAGACAAGGCAGAAGTTAACATGATCCTATAGATAGCCAGCCAGTTATTTGATAATCAGTTTTATTATTCTTTAAAAAGCTAGCTATATTTATTTAGTTTTAGTTTTATTGTCCTCCAACGAACAGAATTAAGCTAAAAAAATACTTTAACAAACTCACCCCACAAGAGCTTAATGTGAATATAATTAATCTCTACAAGTTGTAGGTGAAGCTATCGGTTATGAACAGATTATTGAATAGCTGACTGAATTGTTGAGACGTTAAGCATTTGGGCTTATAATTTGTGATTAATTAAAGTGTAATGTATAATTAAGAGATGTGAATGGAACAGGTGGGATTTGATAGCGGGACGCATTCCTGGTCGGAAAGCAGAAGAGATAGAGAGGTTCTGGATTATGAAGCACGGTGAAGCTTTCTCTGCTACAAGTCATTCAACAGCTCTCTACTAAAACCCTCCAAATAAATCCACTCGCATCATTCTCTCCGTCACACAGGTTATTGAGCAGATTTCTTTTTGTTTTAACTTCTTCAATTTCTAAGAGATTGTTTTTGTATATGATTTTATCCTGGCTACAATATTGTATCGCGTAAGCCAAGGAAACGTGGTTGTTTTTTATTTTTTCACCCCTTAAATTTTGTTATATTCAAAACCACATTCTTTTCCTTTCCCATAGTTCTTTTCTTCCTTTTATTTAAAAAAAAAAAAGGGACAATACAATACGTGCTGGGATGAGGGGAATAAGCACGCTCAAACAAAACCAATTCATCTAAGGGGCCAATATGACAGTTAAGTTACAAAATCAGGCTAAAAAAGTTTTTTTTAATATGTACAGATATCTTCTTGTTAAGAAAAATTCTGTTCGAGACATTATCGGACATTAAATGTGGACACCTTTCTTAGTGAAGATTCGAACCTTTATTCACATAGTGGGGAATTAGTCTTTTCCGCTAGATCTAACCTCCGTTGATTGGAGGAAAAAAAGCTCTTCTCTCACCAATGTTATAAATCAAGGTTTGAATCTTCGTTAGGAGATGTTTATATTTAATATCCAATAGTATCGTACTATTGTCTATTGCGAATGAAAAAAAGAAAAACAAAAATTTCAAATGATTTGGTCCGAGGCTCAAGATAACAAAATGGGCCAATCCCTTCTAAAGGCCCCATCAAAATTAATGGCCACCTCACGAGTCACAGCCATTTCGTCTTATGTGGCGTCCATTTCTGGGACGTCACTATACCTTACAATGTCAAAATCAAGTTGTGAAAGGAATCCAATAAACAAAGAATCTACCAACCACACACTAATTAGCTAATCTCTTCATCACATGTCTTGAACATAAATTATCCATCCTTAGATATTTTTATTACTCGCAACAGAGAGTCAACCGGTCTTTTTTTTTTTTTTCCCTTCCCTTGTCGCTGCCAGCGATGAAACTGATGCTAATCAATACCTTCTTTGGTTCTATTTATAAGCTTCAAAACAGGAGCGAGTTGTCGTCCATTTTATAAGCTTCAAATTGACATTTATTCTAATTTTACCTTTAATAATCTCACTTATTACATTTTCCTATATATTTTCCTTCATTTTTTTTCTTATTTATTACCAGGATATATTTGAAAACAAAAGTATATTTATAATATATTTATTGTTTTTAATTAATTGTTTATTATCTGTGAATTAGTTATTTAAAGCTTATATTCCAAGTGACATTTACAATAGCATAGTTACACACTATCTTTGGTCCTAGTTATAAGACCTCATTTATAGACTATAAATGAGGTCTTATAATTAAGATCAGATGTGGTATTTCCTAAACAGGAAATTAATTTACCAGTCCTTATGGTCTGCGTCTCGTATCGCAGTTAATGAACTGTTGCTTTGTTCACTTAGTCCAAGCTTTTATCATATTTTTGAATGAACAAAACCAATCATCAGTAATATTTTTTTAGTTTGAAACTTGATGCATTTGTGCGAACTACACGTTATTAACCGTGTGCTTGGGAGGCAGAGATAGTCTATCTAATGATCATATCAGGCTTGGAAGAAGACTGATGGACGTGAAGTATCAAATGGGTCTGATGTCAACAAGCATAAGCACAGGTCAGAAATATTATATTAATTCTTTTTCGTAGTTCTGCTTTGCTATAGTGAATCAAAGGGCTCAAAGGGATAACGCGGAAATGAGTTTGAAAATTCCAAACCCACCTTCATTCCACATATGACTCCCCGTTTTCTCTTTTAATCATGACTAGTAATCAAAGGAGCCAATCATTGGCAACCTTGTAGATCTTTTAGAACTTACCGAGCTGAAGTGGACTCGGTCAGCATTATTTTAGTCACTGACCGAGACTAGTCTTCGCTGAATAACTCGCTTTCTCAGTCAAACTTGGACTTTCCAACTCCCATCTTCCTTCCTACGTGTCCTATTGGCAACCCAAACAGACACCCCTTATAAATATGAGACCTTCAATTCATTCTGTAAGGCATCAAGCCCTCGCTCCATCAACTTCACTCCAACACTCCTCTCTCTGCTCTATTTTCAAATCTTCAAGAACAAATTAGTCTAATTTCAAAACCGTTCTGGCTACTTCCATGTTTATAGCTCCTACTTCCCCATTCAACGGTTCTTCACTATTTCTTGGATTTCCAGGTCCTCTAGAGAAGAAGAAGCCGCTGTTTCTAGCTAAAAGTGCATCCCAGAGTAGAAGTGGTGCTCTCTGATATGAACTAGATATCAGGCACCATAGTTCTAAAAACAAGGTCATAACTATAACGAGATTGTACAAGATGGAGAATGACATGAGGTGGGAGCCGAGCACACTTACAAATGAGCTACTTCAAGGAATGGAGGCAGCGAGGAAGCTGATGGCAGATTTTAGGACGCAATCCTCGGTAGAGAGCAGGGATTTGCTGGTACAGAGGATATTATCATCTTATGAAAAGGCTCTGCTAATTCTGAAATGGAATGCGTCAAATACCAAACCCCTTCCCATGGGGACAGTAGCTGGTTTGCTGCCAGAATCTCCGATATCAGTCAACGCAAGTCCTTTCAGAGATGACGTTGATGGGGATCATCCTGAGCTTAAACCAGATTGCAAGAAAAGGTGAATTTGACTTGACAAACTTGATAGTATATACGTAAGATTGTTTAAATATGATTAACCTGACGCCTCTAGCAACGTTTCAGAAAGACGATGCCCACATGGATGGAACAAGTAAGATCTAGCTCTGAGACTGCCCTGGAAGGACCCCAAGATGATGGCTTCAGCTGGAGAAAATATGGACAGAAAGACATCCTGGGTGCCAAATATCCTAGGTATGAGAACAAGAGACCCTATTATATTAGGCTACTAGCATTGTGATCGTCCCCTATCCATGCAAGCATCTAACAAAACACTGTTACATATTGCAGAAGTTACTATAGGTGCACCTTCCGCAAGACTCAGGACTGCTGGGCCACGAAGCAGATACAAAGATCAGATGAAGACCCTACTGTATTTGACATCACTTACCGAGGAAGGCATACTTGTTCCTTGGGAAATAATGCTGTTCGGCCACCCAAGTCACCAGACAAACAGGAGAAAATACATGATTATCAAAGTGACGTCCGCCATCACGAGCCATTACAAGAGAGCCTAGTGAAATTCAGAAGTAACTTGAGTGTCAATACAGATAACCTAAAAAACGAGGATATGGCAAATCCTTTTACTTTCCTTTCAACTTCCTCTGGATACATGACACCGGAAAGCCACAGTTCACGTCCCTTGGCACTAGAGAATGATCCCTTCTGGGGGAACCTTTCACAAACAGAATTGCTATCTCCAAACACGCCAGAATCAAACTATTTACCATCTCTGTCTTTCAAGATTGATGAGTTCCATTGCATTAGAAACCAGCCATGCTCAGAATCTGACATTACTGAGATCATTTCAGCCAACACATCAGCCACCAATTCTCCAATTCTCGATTTTAATTTCCCTATTGATCCGGTGGAAATTGATCCAAATTTCCCTTTTGACACCCCGGGACTTTTCCCATAATTTGTTAGTATTAGGGATGTGAGTATCATACAAATATTTGCTGCAATAGCTTTTCAATCATGTCTGTTAAACATAGCATGAACTATTAGGTAGGAAAACTGTAGACCACAAAACAAGGCAGCAGCAATGATAGCAATAAGAAATTTCACTGTAGTTAAGATTGCAATAACGATTTTTGCAGCGTTTGCAGTATTCACTCTGAAATAGATGAATTATATAAGGTCCGAATTTCCATTGGTATACCTTTAGCAGAAGACCGCAGAAGGCGGTCACCACTCAAGGAATTATTAACTGTAGCACAATGCATCAGCTCAAGAAAAAGGAAGTTAAAAAGAGAGTCATTAAACCAAAACCTTTTTGGCATAAAAGAGAACACAAGGGGGAAAAAGAAAAAGGAAAGGAAAAATGCGCACCAAAATCGAATGTGATGACTGTGATATCCCAAGACTTCATGCCCATAAAGATATGATGTGCTTGAAATTCAACATCCAAATCCATTTTCCATTTTGCAGAATATGCTGCTTTATCGGGGCCTGTCTCGGTCTCATCACATTGTTAAGTTCATTGGAGCGAGAAGTAACTCAGCCCCATCAGTATGCAGCTGATCAACGCCAGACAAAGTACCATAACACAATTTTCGCTATATCATGAAAGCAGAAAGAAGACAATGTCGTGCCAATCAAACTGATGTCAAGTGAAATAAAGATTTAAAAGAATTCGGCAAGTAAAGGAACGATTCTCATCGGCTAAAAGAACTGTAGCTGTGGCAACCGAACAAGGAATGAAGCAAAGACTATCGCGAAAGAAGTTAGCAGGTTTGTGCAACATGAAGATTCTTCTCTTAGAATTTATATATTTTGATTTATTAATCATTAGTTGGTTTAAAACCCGTCAGTGGCTTAGTTCAGTCCGTCCAACAAACAACAAGAAGTCTAAGTTTAATTTGATCTAATGAGGACCGGAACAGATCATGAAAAAAGTATCTGAAACATGGGATGCTACAACAGAAACAGTACATGAGAGACAAGTTAATAATCAGGATGATAATGATGCATACAATGTATTGACAACCTAGTGCTACCGAGGAAAAGCTAAACGAGTAGCCCCTCGCTCATCCGTATCAGTTTTCCTCGACGACCCTTAACCGTCTGAAGTTATTCTTCGCACTGAGGCCGTTGTTTCTCACAAAGCAAACGCATTAGAAGCACTCTGCAGATTATTCTAGTCTCCACTCTCGATAACAAATTAAACCATCCAAGTACATCTGAACTCGTTCTCAGAATCCGAAGCTTGTTAGGTGTCAATATTTTCCAGGGGGAGATTGGAGCATAAATTGGTTGTGAGAAATAAATGCCAGTATATATAAACAACCGTTTGCTTCGTGAAATAACCAATAAATGTGGGAACAGATAAGTTGCTGGAGCCTGGAATAGAGTCTGTAAAACTCACTTGTAGGCTCGAGCAACAAAGGAGAGCAAGAAGATGAAACCGAAGAACAAGAAGCTAGAGTAAGAAATCAAAGAAAAAGCGAAATACTGAGAAGCAATTATGACGGATCAACAGGCAGCGGCCAAGTCAACGGTGCTCCCCCGCCCTGTGGCAAGTTTTGTCCGTTTTCGAATTTCCAATCTATCCGGCCGCCACAAAAAGGAATCCAACCTCTACACAACCAGTAGCGACGATTAAATCCGTCTTGTTCTCGCTCGCCCTCTCGTCTGGGCTGTCGGGGGCAACCCGGGCCATGGGTCATGCCGGGCCTCAGAAACGTATCTATCCATTTGGCGATGATGGGCTCAAACTCCGGAGCCCGTATTGTGTCCAGAATCAACATTTGCTTGTTGAAGAATTGATACAAAACTAGGCTAAGAAATCAATCAAAGTTTGAATCCCTACCGAGAAAAAAAATTCATATTTAGTACTTTTCTGATTCTTAATATAAGACCCATTTAATTAATTTAATTAGATTAAAGAAGTTAGATAAGTTAGTTAATTATAAGAAATGTGACACATTTTTCCTAAAACACCATAATCATCTTTCTTAATACCTCCTCTCCCTCTTCTACTTGGTTATGGTTGAGGAGTATCCATAGGGTAATTTAGAGAAAATTGATAAATATAAGAAATGAGTTCTATATTTAGGACCAAAACCAACTCAACAATTGGGTTTTATATTAAAGACCGGAGGAGTATATGACAGTGTATCGAATAGGATTATCTTTAATAAGAGAATATCTGTGCTTACTGAGGAAAAAAAAACTAATCTAAGAGGTGCAATTATAATTGTCCTTATTAATGACTTAATATAGATTTATTATTCCGACAATTAGAACTGGTCTTGGAATGAGGCGTTTCAATTTTAAAATATTGCATAGTGGAGGGAGTAAAGAAGGAGGCAAGTTCGCGGGTGGCTGGTGAGTGATGGTGCAACTGTACGTGAACAATATAACCTCAATAAATGTGCTGTGCTACGCGAGCATAAATGCAACGCAGTGGAGGATCAGTTTTTCACGGGAAAACTGTGCTCACTCGAACAGCCTGAAATGAGGTTGTGCTTTTGAGGGTTTGATATATATATTTGTTGATTGATGAGGAAAGCAGATAGAGAATACAAAGGAAATCATGCGCGCTTGGATAATTACATTTACAGTTACCCCTTCTGAGAATTCTATATACCTTGCAAATCTATCAGAAAAATGAATAAAACGAAATCCAATACCAATGGAATGGAACAGCTGACATTTATGTTTAGCCACATTTGTCTCTCATACCGCCCATCCTTGTATATAGCACGTCGTTATTCTCATCAAACTACACCAAATTAAAATTAAAAAAAAAAGGAGACTTTTTGCCTGCTCTCATCGCCTGATCTTTATAACTTATCTCATGTAACTGTGTGATTTTGTTTATGATAAACAGAACGTCAACTTTTGTGAATAAACAAAATTTGACAAGAACATATATATGAGCTGAACTGATAAAAAATGTAAAATCGAACAGGTTCTACATCTACTGGTATGCTGCTTTTAGAAAATATACTTGATGCAAACTAGTTTTTCTGCCACCCCTAGGCGATCGAGGATAACCCTATTCCCCAGATACATCGTCGTGTCCCGATCGCTGTGAGATTTTTCATTCGATTCATAGAACTTGACTTTTATTGAGTCTGCAAATGTTTATGGTCCTTAGGGGTGCTGTCGTCATTAATTGTTTTCTCATATCTTAATGCCGCTCAAACGATAAGGTTTCAACTTTCAAGCCATGTTTAAATTAAGATGGGCAGGACCTATAGCTTTCCCTTTTGTGGCTTGAAAATTATTGTTTGGGCTGACCAAAGCTCCCTCAGATCTTTTTTGGAAGATCAAATTTTATCTCCGTTAAAAATTTAATATTTTCCTGCCAAAACAAAACCCATTTATCTAATAAATTTTAATCTCAGCTTGACTACCCATTCCTACAATCTTTGCCTTCCCCTTCTTGCGTATTCAAGAATCAAGAAATAAGCAAACTGGTTAAGGCCCCTTTGTCCGCTAGATCAGAGAGAAAAGCCATGAATAAAGAACCTATCAAATCCATATCCGCTTTTATGAAGTAGGACCAATATATACAGAAATATATAACTGATCGTAGCACAATACAATACAATTACATTTTATTAATTAAAATTTTATCAATATATTGGGCATAAGATGTGTAATTTTTTAATTCGACCACACACCCATGTGTGTGTGTTCATCAACCTTTATGATGGCGTACTATCATAAAATTAAAATTAAGATTAATATAAAAATTTAAATGCAATAAATAATGGGAATGGAATAAGATCATAATAATCCTCAAAACTAAACACCAATTCAAAAGCCACAAAAAAAAAAATAAGAAGGGGATGAAGAATGAGTGAATACGGAAGCATTGGATATGAATGAGCTAACCTACTAAGAGTGGATAGACATAGAAAGGGCATCAGTCTTGAAGATACAAGTAAGGGCCACTGAACTTATTTCTGGACCTACCACATTAAAACTCTCTTATAAACATAGTTTCATGCGTCACATACTCCCATTAATTCTCCCCACCATTGCTTTCTTCTTCTTTAACCTGCGCCCCATACTCTGAATTTAAGATTTTGACATTATATGGTAGTTTAATTTCTCATATATATTTCAGTAATTTTGATGCAAACCAAACTTCTCTACATTTTCATATATATGTTGAAAGGGTATTTAATGTGGTAATAAATATGACTATAACGCAGAAAGAGCAGTAACACTCCATATCACTTCATTTTCGGTTTTCAACACATATATAATGTATTTCAAATTTTATTCTATTTCTCATCCATTCTCAGTTCGATCTCTGGAGATAAAGAGTTTATCATATTCGATTTCTCCTTTTCTACAATCACATTCTCAATTTTAGCATTCGGATACGCGTGAGTATTTTTAAAAAAATTTATCGTTGTTGTACAACATATATACCTATTGCACTATTAATTAATTTCATGTATAAGTTGAGAACTATCCATTTATGAGTGGTCAGATTAGGGGGGAAATACTATATAACAAGCTTTTATGGGCACAACTAAATTGAAAGTGCTTTATATCTGAGAAACCAAATTATAGCCATAGAGCATCTGGAAATTCATGTAAAATTTTCACGGTAGGATAATAATTTACTCACAAGTTTTTAAAGTGCACAAACACAAGATAACACTAATTTATTCTCATTTCACTTGTCTCCAATTATTAATGACTTGAAAAATAAGCTGAAGCAGAAAATCTCCGTACCTGTGTTTGGCCAATGAAATCTCATTTCAAAATAGCCACCATACACACGCAGTATTAATGACTTGTTCGTACCCAAATAGCATTGGAGCTGAAAAGATGAGGGGTTTTGCGTGGTTCAATTTACTGAACTTCCGAGACAATAAATTTTTCAGGAAGTTCATGAATAGTTGCTTGTTTAGTTTTTTTTTTTTAATTCTTGACAAGCATAATTGTTTTTAAGTATCTGAATAGTAAAATTTTCGAACAGAAAATTTCTATCGATTTTTCTTATTTTAAAAGATAATGACAAAAGTACTATCAGTTAATTAAATTCAGTAAGTTATGATGAAAATATGAAGCTTAACTTGTTGAGAAGTTACGGATTTTAGTAAATTAAGTAGAGAGAAATCCATCATGTTTGAATAGTCTAACTTCCTTTCTCTATTTAATTACCCCCAACCAAGTGAAAGCAATCAAGGAAGCCCTTTTTCAAGAGCCATGATTTGTTGCAACACCAAAAAAAAAAAAAGAAAAAAAAAGAGAGAAAAAGAGTCATAGTTTCTTCAATTTTTCATTAGTTGTGTTAACATGTTATTAAGTAACAATGGAGTTTTTTCCCCTTTTACGGACAATAACAATGCATTTTTCATTAAGTTAGAAATCGATTAATAATAATATAATAATAAAAAGGCTGAAGAAGAGATTCCCAACCCCAAAAGTCTAACTGAAGTACTCCTCTGATCCTATTTATAAGATATTTTTAACTTTTTTCATACAGACCAAGAAAAACTTTAAACTGCATTAACTCTTCATTAAAATATAGCAATTTTTTAACTTTACCCCTATTTAATATATACATATTTAAAAAAATAACTATATACACTATAATAAATGAAGGATAATATAGTACATTCATGATAAAAATTTAATGAATTGATTTATAAATAGGATCTAAAAAAACCTTCTCTCTCTGCCTTATAAATACGACCAGAGGAGTATTCCTGTTTTGGAACAATGTGGAAATAGATGGACATATGTAGTAAATTAATAATTAAGAGATAATCAAGTCCACTATGATAGGATGTGAACTGTGATCAATGGGCTATATTGCCTGACGAAGAAGTTATGCAAAGCTTTTCATTACTACCTCCGATCCTTAATATAAGAGTTAGTTTAACTTTTAATTTGATTTTAAATATAAGATGTAAGTCCATTTTGTTTCTCATATTTATTTATTTTTTCTTAAGGTAATCTTTGTAGCTATTGCACATATTAAAGGTTTTATCAAAGGTTAAAGCTAATATATTTGATTAGTAAGGGTATTTTAGGAAAAATAACACCTATTTATTACAAATAACTAATTTAACAAACTTCTTTAATCTCCTCAAATTGGTCAACCAACTCTTATATTTAGGACCGGAGACCGTACCTAATATCACATAATATAGTCAGTCAAACTGGCAGATTATCCGCGTTCAACTATGATATATCGTCCCACGAATCAGTACTATAAAATAATACATACCGGATTACTAAAAACTACAGAATAATCCAGAAATCTAGCACACGCCATTCACACATGCTACGTTATTATCACCATCATATCATACTAAAAATCCTGCTAATTAAAATATATCATCTCATAATCATGCTGCCTAAAAGCCAGCTGGGTCCGTCAGGCACAGGAAATACCCATTGTCGTGGGCGTAAAGCGTTCCGAAGCCGACCTTTTGACCAGAGAAGTGATGTCCGGCGAAACCTTAGCCATCTCAAACTCCGGCAGCTCCGGGATGGACGAAAGCACCGGCCCTGACTGCTTGTCGTAAACCACCAAGTAACGCTCTCCGGATTTCTGTGGCACCTGGAAACTACTCCTGGAAGATTTAACGGACGAAGCTTTCTTGAGACTATGATGATTGTGATTGTTATTATTGAGCTTGAAAACGGAGCGAAGGAGCTTCTGGAGGGAGCGAGAGATTTTGAAGGGCTTCTTGGACATGGTGGGCGGGGGAGGCGGAGGAGCCGGAAGTCCGCGGTCGGAGAGGTGAGGCATGGAGAGACTTCTGGCGGAATTAGCTATAGCAGAGTCGAGTTGACACTTGAAGGAGTTGAGCTCGAAGGAGTCATAGAGCGTGCTGCCACAGTCCCACAAGGCGGCCTTAGTCTTCGAAGAACGATTCTCCATGATATAACCAGAAAGTAGGGTTTGAAGAAAAGTAATTGAGAACAGAGTTAGAAGAGGAAGAAGAAGAAGACGAAGAAGGCTGGCCTTTATGTAATGGTTACCGGGTTGGTGAAGGAAGCGAACGCGTCGGTTATGACTTTGAGAGACCTGAAAAAGGCTGACTGGTTTCACGGCTTACTTATATTCACCGTTCATTCTTCTCAGTGACACCAATAACTTCTCTCTTCTTCCACTGTCCATTCTTCGTTCTTAAATATTATAATGCGACTCGCTTTCGCAGCTTATATAATGACAACTCAACATGCATATATAATTATGATAATTGAAAAAACTAAGTAACGTTGATTATACAAAACGGTTCAAGTGGGGAACCAGGGGACGTGGAATGAGAGTGGCCCATGAATTGTGTCTCAAGTTTTATTTTTTTGTATTAAAGTAAATGCTATAAATAAGAATGGCCATACCCATTGAATCGTTTCATGTCACGTGTCACCGTTTCATTCTCAAAATGTGACATGTCAACAAAGCACGCATTGTGGAACATTTAGATTATCATTTGCATTTAATTTAACTTTTTGTTATATTTATAAGATTATCCATATGAAAGGTACTAAAGTTTTAGCTAGAAAGCTCTGTGATATTTATTAGTACCTTTACGAGCTAACTAACGACTCATTCAAGAAACTATACACAACAAAATTATGAATTTTTTTTCTTCTCAATGCTTTTAAATTATGAATTTTTCACTATTAGGGAAGTATTTTTTTAAAAAAATAGATTTCGATGTGATAGGCACAGTATGAAATTTTTATTGAGAGCATTTTAAAACTTTCAATAAGAAGATAGAAAGAAATATAAAATATAGTAAAAGTAGTTCAATCTCCCTAACTAAAAGCGATGGTTCAAAAGTTAAAACTATGGATCGGATTTGGAGATCGGGTGGCCGACTTCACAAGTCTTCAATATTTAGAGGCGTGGTCGGTATTGCGCAAGTAATGGAGGCTCGGGAGTGCGTGTCCACGAAGTCACTTTGAATTAATTTTACAGATATCAAATTTTAAAAGAATTTACATATCTATACATATATATATATATATATATACACACAAACACACACTACCTCCTGTCCTAATTATAAACCTGAAATCTTATTAATTACCATTCATAGCTTATTTCGAAGACAAGCAAATTTGTTATGCCAGCTGGGTCCGTCAGGCACAGGAAATACCCATTGTCGTGGGCGTAAAGCGTTCCGAAGCCGACCTTTTGACCAGAGAAGTGATGTCCGGCGAAACCTTAGCCATCTCAAACTCCGGCAGCTCCGGGATGGACGAACGAAAGCACCGGCCCTGACTGCTTGTCGTAAACCACCAAGTAACGCTCTCCGGATTTCTGTGGCACCTGGAAACTACTCCTGGAAGATTTAACGGACGAAGCTTTCTTGAGACTATGATGATTGTGATTGTTATTATTGAGCTTGAAAACGGAGCGAAGGAGCTTCTGGAGGGAGCGAGAGATTTTGAAGGGCTTCTTGGACATGGTGGGCGGGGGAGGCGGAGGAGCCGGAAGTCCGCGGTCGGAGAGGTGAGGCATGGAGAGACTTCTGGCGGAATTAGCTATAGCAGAGTCGAGTTGACACTTGAAGGAGTTGAGCTCGAAGGAGTCATAGAGCGTGCTGCCACAGTCCCACAAGGCGGCCTTAGTCTTCGAAGAACGATTCTCCATGATATAACCAGAAAGTAGGGTTTGAAGAAAAGTAATTGAGAACAGAGTTAGAAGAGGAAGAAGAAGAAGACGAAGAAGGCTGGCCTTTATGTAATGGTTACCGGGTTGGTGAAGGAAGCGAACGCGTCGGTTATGACTTTGAGAGACCTGAAAAAGGCTGACTGGTTTCACGGCTTACTTATATTCACCGTTCATTCTTCTCAGTGACACCAATAACTTCTCTCTTCTTCCACTGTCCATTCTTCGTTCTTAAATATTATAATGCGACTCGCTTTCGCAGCTTATATAATGACAACTCAACATGCATATATAATTATGATAATTGAAAAAAACTAAGTAACGTTGATTATACAAAACGGTTCAAGTGGGGAACCAGGGGACGTGGAATGAGAGTGGCCCCATGAATTGTGTCTCAAGTTTTATTTTTTTGTATTAAAGTAAATGCTATAAATAAGAATGGCCATACCCATTGAATCGTTTCATGTCACGTGTCACCGTTTCATTCTCAAAATGTGACATGTCAACAAAGCACGCATTGTGGAACATTTAGATTATCATTTGCATTTAATTTAACTTTTTGTTATATTTTATAAGATTATCCATATGAAAGGTACTAAAGTTTTAGCTAGAAAGCTCTGTGATATTTATTAGTACCTTTACGAGCTAACTAACGACTCATTCAAGAAACTATACACAACAAAATTATGAATTTTTTTTCTCTCAATGCTTTTAAATTATGAATTTTTCACTATTAGGGAAGTATTTTTTTAAAAAAATAGATTTCGATGTGATAGGCACAGTATGAAATTTTTATTGAGAGCATTTTAAAACTTTCAATAAGAAGATAGAAAGAAATATAAAATATAGTAAAAGTAGTTCAATCTCCCTAACTAAAAGCGATGGTTCAAAAGTTAAAACTATGGATCGGATTTGGAGATCGGGTGGCCGACTTCACAAGTCTTCAATATTTAGAGGCGTGGTCGGTATTGCGCAAGTAATGGAGGCTCGGGAGTGCGTGTCCACGAAGTCACTTTGAATTAATTTTACAGATATCAAATTTTAAAAGAATTTACATATCTATATACATATATATATATATATTATATACACACACACCACACTACCTCCTGTCCTAATTATAAAACCTGAAATCTTATTAATTACCATTCATAGCTTTATTTCGAAGACAAGCAAATTTGTTATCTATTATATAGGGATTTGGGCATATTTTTATTTCCAGATCACCCCTTCTTAACAGTTTTTCAACCATGTGAGTCCGAGCGCCACGGGGCGGTGGTGGAAGATTTTTTTGTTCTTTAACCTAAAAACAATATAGTTATTCAGCAATAAAATTGATACAAAAAAGTTCTTAAGAATTTTAGAAAAATATGTCATTCCATGATTGTAATATGAGATCTGCATATTTTAGAAACATTTTTATGTCATTCTCTGACAATATATTTAAACAAGAGCGAAATGTTCTGAATTTTTTTTATTCACACCTTAAAATAAACTTAGTACTTCCGATTCTAATTATAAAATATTATTTATAGTTTATAAACATAATGGTGTAATTAGGACCGGAGGTAGTATATTAGTTATGATGGGTTCACATTGATTTGATGAGTCAAGTCAAACTGCCTAATCTCATCGATGCTCCTCGCAATAAAATATTACGATTCCTCCTCTCAAACATCCAAACCGCAACTCTATTTTTTCTAGAGAGAGATTCATTATAGAACAGGTTAGCAATGTAACGCGTGAACTCTTATTAAAAAGTGCCACGTGATATTTGTGTCCTCCTAATATATTGGAAACATCGAATATCTAGGGTAGCATGTGCTGCAAGCAAATATGTACGTTTGACCCACAGAGGAAAACACATGATTGAAGCATCTCCAAAGTCAATCAATGTAAAAGGGAAAAAAGAAAATAAAGCATTGGACAATATATCCATGTGTGAGATAGGAACAACCCAAATCAAATAGAACTGGACTCTTGCAATAAAACCATACAAAAGAACTAGGCTTCGAATTCCTTGGGCCATGACATCTTACCTTGTATCTCCGAAAAGGGCAAAAGTCAGAGAGGCAAGGGAAAGTCAACCAACCCAACACTTCTGCGCGATCTGTTTCAGTTTTAAGGACCCCAAGTCCAACCCATCATGTCGGTTTACTTGTTACAACGAACCGACCACTTCCATGAATACCAAACGTCTTTGAGGATCTAATTTTATTCTCGTTGATTTCAAATCCTGTGATGATGCCCCAATTTCTTCAGCCCCGCCAAATTCTTCGTTTCATTGCCCTTCTTTTAACTAATATTGAATTAGAACCTTAGAGCATCAGAGCATCTTGCAGTTAAAAATAACCACAGCGAGTGATATACTTCTTTTGAATTTAATTACAAAATTATAAATTGACTTCATTCATTAAAAACTTTCTGGTCACATTGACGGCAGTAATACTTGGAACACAAATTGCAGGCTCCCTTTGCTGAGTGCCGAGCCTAGCAAACAGTGCAAGACCAACGCTGAGGACAGTGCTTTATCTTTTTAGCTCTGTCTTCTGTTTCACAACTTAGAAAGAGCCATATGTACTGAGGCAAGCCAAAGAAGTCCAGCAAATTTGTGCAGTCGCTGTAGTATACATGATTTATGTGCACATTTGTTTAATCAACAACATCACTACTAAAGAGCTTAAACTGGTTGGCGTCAAGAACCAGTTTCCTTATGGAAGAGAATGCGCCCATAATTCCTGCACCGGTGAAGACGATAATGATTGACATGTTGATCCAATAGGTGAAGGATGACTTGGGAGGCTTGTGCGTCATGTTGTACAGAAGCATAGGAAGAACAAAATCCAGAGGGATGAAACCAAGAGCACCAACCACACCATTGATGTCCCCAAAAAATGGGAGCATGGCTGCCACAAACCCGCATAGTATCATGTAAATTGTGCGAAGAATTAAGCGAGGGATGAGATTTCTCTTGGAAAACATCCCCTGCTTCACATCAGCTGATTTCTTCTCCATTATCTCATATGCCACTTGAGAATAAACCTGTCGTGTGTGTTGGGACAATCATTATATTCTCCACCAGTATCTGATGCCAAATCTTAACGTTGCTCGCAACAATTACAACTCTCTGAGCTTACCAGACCAATCGCGAAGAGTTGAAGAAGAACGAAGATGACAGCAAGGCCAAGTACCCAAGTTGGAGCCAAAGAGGGTCCCTCATCTGGCAATAGACTCTTAAGAATGTTTGAACTGGACTTGTTTCCAAACACCCAATATCCAGACACTGCAACAGAGTAGAAAGTCACGCAAATCACACTATAACACATGAAAAGCCCTCTGACCATCTTTCCAGTTGCAGGTGGTGCTAGAGTTGCCTGCATTCAACATGTCATAGCCAAAATGAAAGTCAGCCACACATACAAGCTTGAAGTGCAAGTGCCATGGACATTATTAATTGATAAACTTCTGAAAGATAGTTTTCTTGATACTTGTATCTCGGGCAGAATTCCATTCCCAAATATGGATGCAATTATGGAGATGGAAGTGAAGGCACTAAAAACCCGTGCAGACTTTCTGGGTTCTAGGGAATAGTCCGCTGAATGGCCTTTTGCTGATAAACCTGCAAAATGATACGAAGCCACCTATAATTATTGATATGACCCAAATCTCATTAGTCATTATGCAGTTATCTGTGGGGGAAAAAAGAAGAAGGCGTTATTGATCCGTTTGTTTTTACCTGCGTGAATGCAAGCCCCGACCACTAGGAAACTATAGCCTAGGCTGAGAAGAAGAGAACCCATGTTGATGTGTCGTAGAGAATGGAAGGTTGGGAGCTGAGAGAGAACTATCATTACCACTGTCACCATTGCTATAAAATGGTACAATTTGAGGGACCCATGTGGCGAAAGGTTGGAATACACAATCTTTAACAACGCAACAGCATCAATTAATTAATGAACACTGGTTTCCACAATCACTTCAAAACAAAACATTCAATTATATTCTTAAGCACTTCAATTTGGAGGAAACCGAGACCCAGCTCTTCTCCCCCCCCGGCACTTCTGCAGTCATCAGTTGGTTCGGTAATATTAGGTTCCCATTTTAGTTCATCAGAGAGACAGAGACCCGCTTTACTTGGTTTTATCATTTTTGTAGATTACCCAAGACAAAAACACAAGACTCAAAAGCCAGGGACAGCAAATATGTGCAGAATTAAAGAAGCGGCTCAGCGAGGTGGCGCACCAAAATAGGTTAGTACCTTACACGTTTATTATGCACTGGCGCTTGATTGGTCCTCCGCACCACAGAGCACAGTAACACCTAAATACATGTGGATATGGACGTCCACTACGTATCGCGTGCCAATGTGTCACTTCATAGCCATTCGTACTATTGGTGAAAAAAATAGAGATAAATCTAGATTTTTTTTTTTATATGTAAAGGCAAGCTTAAGCTTGAAGAGTTACAAAGGCAGCTAACTATCAGATACAAAAAATCAAAAGTATAGATCCAGATCTTAAGAAGTTAAAAATGTGCTTAACCAGATGCTATTGCACCATAACGAAACGAAGTTTTAATCTATACTATAATCTATGAGCGAATAAAACCGCATGCGGATGTGGAACATGGCATATATTCCAAGACTGAAAAAGTGTTTGCTATATGAATAAGTTAAGGAAAGTTTCTATGCCTAAATAAAATATCAAATTTAATATCTTATCCTTCAGAAAGATCATCAGTAGCTTACTGCTACGTAGAAAGATTCGTAGTACTATCGTATACTGTATCCTGCAGATAAATGGAAAGTAAATTAAATGCAGCGAAACCAGACACCAGAACTCTATGGACACATTCCATGACTTGAGCGGGTAGTTGATGACACGCCAGGGAGATTTTATAATGAAAATCCTACCCTCTCGGTCTTCAAGGAGATTTGACGTCAGACTTTCCTAAGTACGGCGATGGGACGTAGAAGAAAGGGGGAATAAGATGAAAGTCAGAAACAGAGCACGAGAGAGTTTGCCTCGGAGGGACAAATGAAAAGCAGTATGAGAGTAGAAATATAATTAAAAAAATCAAGTTAACCCAAACTTGTTTCATCCCCGCAATTATGACGAGGGTGATATCTTATACTCTGTATCTTTAACCATTACTATTACTATGAAAAGATAAAACAGTAGAATCGACGGATAAGGATCGTGCGTATGCATGAGCAAATAAGAAGGGATCAAACCTCAAGGCATTGGCCCGACAGCAAAATTGCGCCCACACCAACCCCGGTGTTGATTGCCGTTTGAATGAATATTACAAAATAGAACATCCATCCAGACCCTGTCATTAGACCCAAGAAAATAAAAATAACTGATGAGCAATTCGTTGGAAACTAATGGAAGTAGGTCTAGAGTAGACTACAATACAGGCTAAAGATTAAACAGAGTAACAAGGAACACTCAATCCGCCCTTGTTATTCAGTACCGTGCGTTTGGATAACAAGTTCTAGGAGTTAGCGGTAGCGGGTGTAGTTAGCAGTGCGATTATGATTAATAATTAATATTGTTAATAATTAATGAAAGCAAGATTGGAAAGGGACAAAAAAGAAAGAGTGTGGGTCGCATCGATTAATTCACCCAAGACGTCTGCCGCGAGCTCCCGGAAACGTATGTGGCGGCGGCCGGATTTCTCGCAGTGATCAAGCACTTTGGACATGAGGAAGTAGGAGTAGAAGGTGACGACGCCCATCGCCGTCAAGCAGAAGAACCCCAGTCCCCATCCTAATCCTCTGAAGGCGTAAGGCAACGTCAGTATGGTGGGTCCGACGATCGCCGTCGTCAAATGGAACCCCGCATGCCACCACTGACCTATGTACAAAGGAAACAATGAATTAACTAACAGAAGAAACAAGAATGGTTAACGATGGTTTTAAAGAAGAAGAAGCGGCCGGCTAGCTTGGGAATCGGCACCTTTAGACTGAAGGACAAAAGCGGCCCCGGCGTCGTCGTCGCGGGGGCTGTCCGTGACGGCGTCCTTCGGAGGGATCGTCATAGATGGGGATTTAGGAGTGACGGGTGAGGGATTTGAACTTTTTGACGTGCAGAGTGCAAACAAGTATATGATATATTGTTGCGTGCACACTTCAATTTGGTCGTCGGACGTCTAGCGTATCATTCGCCTGGAAATGTGGAGATTGGAAGAAGAGCATGCGGTGAGAAACTGAGAACTGAGAAGTAGGAGAACATCGGAGCCTGAAACTGCAGGCTGAAGAGGAATATTTCTTGGAAATGTCTCTGATGTTATAATATGACTATGGATTCCGAACTGCCTTTGCTTTATTTATATATATTTGCTGGCCAAACACCGGGATAACTGTACCTGTAAATGAGCCGATTGGGCTTTTGTTTTTCAACCCCAGTTTTTTTTTTTTTTTTTTAACAATCATGCGGTTTGACTTTGAGTTCATTTCCATTTAATAATAAATTTGATCTCTACTGGCGCTCGACAATTAATTCATTAATGGAAAGATATAATTATTAGCGTATTGCAATTTAATAAATCAAAATAGAATTTTTTGGTTTATTTTTTAAAATAAATTAATAACTTCAACCTCAATACTATAAAATTATCATTTGATGGTCAAAATTTTTTGAATTAAAAGACTCGATTGGCGGGATTTTAACTGGGGAATCCAAATCCTTTAATGATTGATTCGTTTTTGCACAAAGCTGACTGGGACCCCGGTCAAGTCTTTGAAGCACCGGAGCCAGTCAAGTTGGTTAAATTAATTAGACTAGTTTTAATGTCTGAGAAAATGGATCCATTTTTGAAAACTTGAAAATTTCTACTGTCCCAAAAAAAATTGAAAATTTTTACATTTTAAATTTATCCTATAACTTTAATATGCAGTTATTTACTTTTATATTGATATTTTTTTTCATTTTATTGACTTTAAGATATTTATTTTGTGCTGCTCGCCTTATTTTCAGGGGGGGAAAAACATAAATCTACAACTTTCAACTTATTGTTTGCAGATTAAAAAAATACACATTATTTATCTGGCTTTTTAAGTTATCATCAGAAGTGAAATCATTTGTGTTTTGGGCCAATATAGAATCCTTTTTTTCTTCTTGTCCAAACGGCCATTATAGAATCGATAATCATATACAAGAGATGGTCCGTAAGTACATTGCAGAGCTGGATGATGCTAATTAACAGGTAACCCAAAGCCTGATCTTTTTAGAGGAATGATATTTTATGAGGCTTTTTTATTTATTAAAAAAAATGAAATGATAATTCAAAATTTTTTGGCTTCCTAGCTGGCTGGATGTAATTCCAATGGCCACAAAATTCACTTGGGACGGGGGGACAGACCACACTGGTGGAGTGTGTGTGTGTGTGGCCTAAATAAAGAGTCAACATAACTCAAGGTTAGCAGTGAACACTCCTAATTGTCTAATTGAGTTAGGAAAGAATGTGATAACTGGTAGTTGCAAGCGGATGATCATACCTAACACACTTCATCCTTTTTTCTTTTAACAAATTCCCCAAACAACAAATTATTATCTCCCGTCCTTATACTACTTCCGGTCGTAATTATAAGAACTAGTTGACTAATTTAAGAAAGTTAAGGAAAGAAGTTAAGTTAGTTATTTATAAATAAATAAATGTTGTCTTTCTTAAAATATTCTTGCTAATCAAGTGTATTAGTTAGAATTACCATTGTTAGAAGGACTATCTTAAAAAAATGCATAAATATGAGAGACAAATGAATTGAGGTATTATATTTAGGATCAAAGTAAAAGTCAAATAAGGTCTTATATTAAGGACCGAAAGTAGTATAAAAGCTTGTTGTTAGTTTGAGTAGATTAAAGAAATTAGTTAAGTTGGTATTTGTAATAAACATGTGTTATGTTTCGTAAAATATTATTACTAATTAAGTGTATTGGTCAGAACTATCATTATTACAAAAAACTATTTTAAAAAAAGATAAATATGAAAGACAAAGTGGATTGAGATTTTATATTTAAGACAAAATAAAAATTAAATAAGTTCTTATATTAAATACTAGAGATAGTATTATTTTTTGAGATCTCCATTGCACAAGGCAAACCTTTAATCTATGCTAGAATGGAATCTAAGCACTTACAAGCTGCTCATCTGATACTAAATATAAGAATCACTTGGAGAGTTGATCTTAGTATTAAATGCATTGCCTTAATATATTTTATCTCTCGTGTTCATTATTTTTTTCTTAAACTAATTTATCTAACCTAGAAACTGAAATATAATGTAATTTTACATAAGTATACTTTCGGGAGATCATGTGCCATTCATTCATATCAAACAATTTATTTCATTTTTTAATTCATCTAAATTAGTTGAGTAACTTTTCTGCTTAAAAATTAGGCGTGCACTTTTTTATGACCTATGCTCTTGATTCCCCCCCCCCCCAAAAAAAAAAAAAATCACTCATCCCAACCCCAGCCAGTCTCCTAAACAATTCTCAGCACTAGATGGTCGTTTTTGTGGTATGTATGTAGGTTTGTATGAATACGGCAACTAAGATATTTATATAAATCATGAGAATGGAGAGTGGGGTGTAGTTATTAAAATGTTAATAGATAAACACACACAGACAAATCCCATATTTATTATTTGAGAGTTAATGTTGATCTTATATATAAAACCCATTTCACGTGTTTATTAATTTTTTTTTCAAATTAACTCTCTTGATATTCCCTCCACAATAACTAAGTAGGAAAAAGAGAAGAGAGAAGATTAAAGAAGATGATCTATTTTTTAAAAAAATCATATTAACTAACTTACTCAACATATTTAATCTATTTAAATTAATTAATTAGGTCTACATCCGGACCAGTAAATGCATACCATTCACCACACGCATCTTTGAATGTGAACGGCGAGCTCGTGCACGAAACCTCCCCCCTCAATAATAGCAATAGTTGCAGACACGAAAACAAAGGGCCTGCTGCTGCCAAATGTGGGTACATTTGGTCCTTTTCATTTGGTAATTATAATCACTCCCTTGTTTGAATTTTGACATAAACTATTATTCTTCCTTTGGTGATGTCCCCCACACACACATAAAACCGAGAAATTGGCGGTAAAAATCAGTTCTTTTTTGTTTTTATTATATGCGATCTTTCCTTCCCGGTGTTGTTGAAATTATTATAATTTAAAAAAGAAACTAAAAGGAGTCGTACTCGTATAAACCCACAAACCGTTAGGCCGAATGTGAACGACTACACCCGTGAAGTTTGTCGTCATACACACGTCATTTGTTGCAGAGCCCGGCTCGCACGTTGCGGTTTGAATACGATAATGCGGGGCCCCGGCTTCCGCGGATCAAATTTCCACACACGGGCTCAAATTTGCCACTTGTTCCCACCAGATTATTGGGCTAACTGGCTTAAGAGTTTTAAGAAAGATTTCAGCAAGTTAGGGCTTTCATTACACCAAATTTGCAAATCTCACCCGTTTGCATTACAACGTTAGAAACCTAGCAATTACATCAAATTTAAAAACAACATACGATAAACAATCGGCAATGTCACTGAAAGATAGCGATGTTCAATAGAAATTTGAACACCCCAAAGTCCCTTTTCTTTCCCCACTTCATTCTTCTGTTTTCTGGTCCAAGTTAGCTGCAATCAATTTATTGTACTCCTCCAATTCCTTCCTGTATGCCTCCATTGCCTCAGCTGCTTTGTCGTTCCACAGTTTTCTCTCTTCCTCCTTCAGTTCCTTCCACTTCACTGATATAAGGGCGGTCACGGTAGAATTATCCATCTCTGGTCTTTCCTCCTGTATGCTCTTCCTTGCTTCTTTGCTGCATACCAAAACCACATTTCTAAGCACTGAGAACTGCTTTGATTTAATTTAACTCTACCCCGAGTGGACTCACCTGAATAGCAGAAATGAAGATGGTGGTCTCTTTGGCTTGTTAGGATCAGAATTCTTATCTTGCTTGCTCTGTTTCTTCTTCTTTGACTTCTGCAGATATAAATGTATAGTGTTGCTTGTTAGGATCAGAAATGTTAGACACAACGAATGAAACAGCTCAAGGGAATTTGTAAAGTAGAAAATATCTCACCTTGATCAGATTTTCTGTTTTCTCCTTCTTCTTCAGCAGTCTCAAGGCTTCTTCTTTCTGAAGCTTCATTTGCTCGTCCTCTTCCTTCCTGAGATTCGCAGCCTCCTCATCCTTCTTCTGTTTGTAAGCCTCCATTTCTTGAAGATATTTCTCCTTATTTTTCTTTGCCACCTACATGTTTCAAGACCAGAAATTAGCGAGAAATTAAGCCATTAATGAGGAGGCTTAATTCAAGGCGTGACAGAGTCAAACCTCTTCATAAGGTCTCTTCTGATCTTCTGTCATGTTTTTCCACTCCTCACCAACAATCTTTGAAACCTGCAAGGCATCGGCATTAAAGCTGTGTTCTTCTATTCTCATTAATATCATCTCAAAGACATCATAATCACAGGAGACAATCAATCACCTCCACGATACTCTTGTTCTCTGCAAGAATAGCTGCTCGCCTGTCATTCGTGTACAAGATAAAAGCTGACACAGGATGCTTTGGTTTCAGCGGGTCCTTCTCTTTTCTGCGAGTAATATAAGTGTCATCAAGATAAACAACAGAGTGATGGCAAATCAACACTAAAAGAGTTAATTTACCTGTTCTTCTTGCTTTCTTTCTCTGTTTCTTGTTTGAACAGCATATACTGTTCGAGCAATTCCATGGCAGTCTTCTGCTTTTGCTCTTCTTCCAAGAGCTTCATAGCCTCAATTTCGCGTTTCTCTCTTCTCCTTTACCCCGATACCCGCAGATATCTTCTTTTCAATAAGATATTTCTTCTCATAAGGCTGCTTCTCTTCTTCACTGATGGTCTTCCATTTAGCCCCTAACATGTTTGAAATATCCTTGAATTCTGCCTCTGGATTCGCTCTCTTAATCTGCATCAAAGAACCCGGAGAAAAAATTGAACGAAGTGAGCCCAAATTATTATACGAGTTAAAAGAAGAAAACGTGTCCGACTGAACATTTACCTCAGCCCATTTATCTTTGCTCCACAAAATGTAAGGTGGAGAAGGCCTTTTCACAGCACATCCATTCTTCTTCTTCTTGTCCTTCTCATGCTCCTTGTCTTTCAGCATAGGCAAATTCTGAACAATCAAAGCACAAAATGAGCTCCTCTATAACAAAAATTATCTGTCTTTGCAAAACGAAAAAAAAGATTGCCATAACCACAACAGAAACTAAAATGACGGGGGAAGAAAAGCATAAAAGGAAAAACCAACCATGGTGGGTTTGAACTCCTTAAGCTTCTGCAATTTTTTCAACTCCATCTGCAGCTTCTCCTGCTCTCGGCCACGCTCGTCAAGCTCTTCTTCCTTCTGCTTCAACATCTCATCTCTGGCCTTCAAGAGCTCTTCAGTCTTCTCCTTCTCAAGGCGCAGCCTCTGCATCATGTCCTGCATTTCTTGCAATTCTTTATCAAAAGATTGCTTCGACTGCTTCTTTGAGGCAGCTTTTCCCTTCTTGGGCGAAGAGCGGGTTGAGAGACGCTGGGTTGGTTTCTCCTTTCCGGCGTCTGATTCCACTTGAAACCGGTGGTGTGGAGGAATCGGTAAGCTTCTTGGCCAAGGATTTGACATCATTAGTTGAGGGATTTTTATCCTTCAACGCCCTTCGGCTTCGCTGCCTCCTTGACGGGACTTGATCGACGGTCACTTCGGCACTGATCTCAGCCATCCGAGAGAGAGAGAGAGAGCGTATGGAATACTGTTCGAGGGGGATGAGGTTAGCAGGTAAGCTTAAGATGAGGGGCCTTTTAAAGGAGAGGAAGCGCAACGGTCCAATTTTTCAAATTCGAAAGAGATCGAGGTGGCCTGGCGATCCTGTGGCTGATTGACCTGTATTATGACCGTTGGGCCGCGACCCGCGGTGAAAGGAAAAAAATGGAAAAGGAAAATATCCTACAAAAATCTTGTTTCGCTTTCATGCGCTATCGCAGGCTTCCTATGTAAAATTGCTGAATCTTCGCCCTGCAACAACTTTTTTTTTTTGGGTAGAAATTTTGTCATGTTAAATTATCGACACATAATGGGGTGCGAGAAATAAAAGTAATAGATAAAAAAACGATATTATACATATTTTCATCACTGTCAATACTTCAAGCATTTTCAACGTGTGAATATGTAGTAAAAATATATATAATATTTTCAAGGCATAAATTATCATTTCAAGCTCTAATAAAGGAGAAACTTGCGTAGTTTTTCGAACACATGAACATATATTTTTATTAAAAAATTATTCAATCATCGTTATGTTTCAACAAAAAAAAAAAATAGAACACCAACGATTTTTCTTATTGTAAATCATTTACTTTCCGGGCCAATTTAAATTGAAATTGTCTAAATTTTGGAGATCAGCTGATCCAGTTATACTTCTTTGGGCTTATAGGCGTTCAAAGATGAACCGTTGACCTTTTAGTAACGGGCCCAAAACGAAGACCTTACAAAAAGGGGCTCCGTAAGGAAATTTTTTTGGGTTCTTCATTTCCATTTAATTTATAGTAGAATCAGCTCCTATCACAAAGAAAGTTTCGCCTGCATATTCAAGTATCGGTCCAATAACCTGCCCCAAGAAACTAAGAGATCGATGATGGTGTCAGGGATAACAAGAAATTCCATACGAATTGTGAGGATTCATGATCTACTTTGGTGATGTCAATCAATCTCAATCACATATATTCAATATGATCATCAAAATCAGCTGTAAAAAGAGGCTCACAATCCTTTGTTACATTTTTTTCCTCAAACCTTCATCCGATATAGAAAACCAATAAACAATGGAAAATATTGCCTTGTCAGAGTATGTTTGTAACGGATATGGCAGAGAGCAGTTGTATGCACAGAGCAGCAAGTTTAGAACTTCTCATTTGGAGAATTCTACGCCGCATTTAGCTGGTTTTCTTAGCCATTTATGACCATCGCCATTACAATGTCGCTCCAAGAGTCGATTGGCCCAGGTAAGCACCAATGCAAACAATCATTCTGAACTTGGGCATTTTGGCCCTTGGCAAATGGATGAAACTGTCTATATGGTCCAGGATGACCATCTGGCCTCAGTAGTGAAAGTGGCGATAGATCAAGCAGTTTCAGGTTCACTCCATTTCTTGAAGCATTCACAGCTGCCTTAGTGAACTCGTCTAATTCGATGTCACGAAGAATCTGGTTCAAATCCTTCATTTCTATCTCACCTTCCTTAACTGGTGCTGTTCTGTTGCAAGTTCCTCCACTAAACCACTCTCCGTTCTCAAAGTGATCAGGCGTGGATGTCCTAAAAAAGATCATGCCTTTGTGATTGGAAGTTGCAACAAAGTTCAGGACCTGCTGGATGGTTTTGCGGTACGCAAAATCAAACCCCAGTTCTGTCAGATTCCTCTTAGGACAGTTGTGGCAGCCCAGTACGGTGTCATTCTCATAGTAGATTGAAGATTTAAGAAACCATTTCCCAGTTGAAATAATCACGTAATCAAAGCTTTGGTACTCATCTGTCCATTCACTATGAAGTTTGTCAAGATGCAGCTCAACTTCAGAAGTTGAAACACCATTCATGTCCTCAAATATAGCAGCTTCTACAAGGAATGGTGACCATATAACTGACATGGTGAAGTTATATGAGGGAAAACGCCATTTTCTGGACCTATATTCTTCATCGTGGTAGATCATCACAGGTTTCTCTCCCTGAAGAAAAAGATAGTTCCAAGTGAAATCACTCTCATAAAATAGCTAAGAAAATTTGACAAGACTAGGGATGCTATTTTGGAAAATTGGCAAAAACAACAAGTCAACTCGATTGCTGGTGCACTCATTCGCCCTTGACGTTCTTGCAGTTGATATCGTGTTTAGTTTTACCGTGATAATCATATCTCAGAATAAACCTTCTACGATTACAGTTGTTATATTATTAAAATATAACTCCAACATTGGCAATCATACTGCTTAACCTTTCCTGACAATGGTACCTTGAATTTCAAAAATTTCAATTCATATGATTAATCCACATTTCATTTTTGGAGTCATTTATGATTGTCAAAACATTCTTTAACACCTTAAAACATCATGTATTTTTTCTAAAGAAAAGCATGAGGAAGTTATGAATGATACAATAACCATGTGATACAGAGAAACACAGACACGTAAGCACACATAAAGATGGTTGGTAGTAGACGGGTAGAAGAAATATTCTCCAAACACGATGCACATTAGAATCCATTCCATCAACCATGCATTCGTTGCGAGAGAGAATAGTAAGTTATATTCAGGAATGTCATTCACTTTCGTTTCCCCTTTCCTCCAGATTATTGGTAGATAGAGATGTTGAAAGGCAGATATGATAGTGTTAAAGAACTAATCCTCTTGAGTAACTCGTGGCAGACTTGTTATCATTCAGAAACTTTAAAGTATGGCAATGAAGCATAGGTCTATTGCATAATACTCTATCAGTCAATGCAAACGCATACCTTCGAAAGCAAGCACAACCAAGACTGCACATGATTGCGTGATATGGAATCGCCAATTAGTGCCCAGTGTTTATTCCGCATCAGTTTCAGAAATTGCTTAGCACTAAATTGTGGCAACTCACAGTCTCGCGGATGCCATCTCCAATTTAGATATCCTGTATCGGGACGCCCATTTGTTAAACAATTCTGATGGCCTTCGATGAATTCGCAGGTTTCGTTGGTATAAGCCGGGCCCGAAGGGTTTGGAATCCAATCCCCCGTAAAGAGATCGCAATTTTCTGCACGAAATTTGCAGAAAGCTTTCAACATTATAGGACAAGAAGATCACCAAGCAACAATAATAAAATCTTCTATCAGTTCAGCTTCATCGAGCACACATTAATATCAAAAATCCCAATGGACTATCAATTCATAAATTTTCAACACTTTTTCTGGTGTGCAGATCTAGGCTTAAATACTTTATTGGCTAGTCACGACAAGGATATTAACTTCTAACCTTAATTGATTTTCATTTTTTCCCCTCTTCAACTAGACTGTGAATGCAGCGCTAAAGAAGAAACAGAAAGGGAAAGTAAAAGACAAAATCTACAATTAGCAAATAAAGAGAGAGCTTCACCTGTGTGATATTCTTGATCTGCAGTTGTGGCTTCATCCTCAGCGTCTTGTGCTGAAACAACGGGTTCTTCAAGAACTGTATCCTTCTTAGGAGAAGGGGATTCTAAAATGGGTGAGATTTCTGGGGAATGAGAGAAAAGGAGGCGAAAAGCGAGGCCAAAGAAGAAAATGGCGAGCACGAACTTGAGCAGCAGACTTTTCTGCTTGCAGAGAAACTTATGTTTCAAACAATCAATCTTCATCTTCTTCCTGGATTTCCTTGCTGGGAGCTCGCTCCTCTAAGCCCAGATGCTACTTTCAAAACAAGAAAAGATGTCCCAATCCTCGTGTTGCTAAGTATGGATGGCAGCGTTTGTGAGAGAAGAAGAGAAGAACCATCTCATTATTCTCATCATTTCATCCACGCAAAGTAAAACCCCAATACAGCCTAAGGCTGAACTGAAGCTACCGACTTGGCTTGGCTTTCATTTACTCATTAGGAAAAGACAAGGTTCATCCCTTATGCAAGTAAATCAAGACTTGGTTCTTTTTTTCCTTTTGAAAGGTCATAACTGATTTTAATTTCCCCATTATTCTTTTTCTTTTCTTTTTAAACAAAATATTTATTGTAGAGTAAAAATAATTTTATTTTGGTAAAAAAAATATTGATCATTGTGCCGTAAATGATGAAATTCTTATTCTTCTAATAGAACGGCAGTGTTGGTTAGTATTTGACTGTTTCCACTCTGAAGTTTAGTTTTACCTTGCTAACCTGATATGGAATCTTAATGATGTCGCACGTACATATATTAAAATTAATACTATCCCCGATTCTTAATATAAAACTTATTTGAATTTTATTTTGATACTAAATATAAGATCTCAATCTACTTTATCTTTCATAATATTCTTTTTTTAAAATAGTATTTGTAATAATTGTAGTTATAGCCAATACACTTGATTAATAAAGATATTTTAAATAAAATAATACTTATTTATTATAAATAATTAATTTAAAATTAATTTTTAATTTGTTCAAATTAATCAATTAACTTTTATATTAAACTAGAGGTAGTAATAATTAATGATATGAGTTTAATAAAGCAAGTGTCGGCAAGAATTGCGAATTGCGAGTGGTATTTTTGAAACTAAAATGAATCATCATTGCCATCAAATCCACACAACAATCTTGCCAGAATATTTCTATGAGCCTTTAGCGTCAAATGAGAAATGACAAAGAAACTCTGTGCCTTTGACAACGACCATTATCTGCGGAGCTATCTTCCTCTACCATGCACATGTACTTCTTCGATCCTAAATATAAGATCTTTATACAGTCTTAAATATAAAACTCTTATACATATTAGTACAAGGATCTTATATTTAGGACCGGAAAAGTATTAATATTATTATGCTTACAAATTACTATACGTTTTCAAATCTCAAAAGCACCCTCAAAACTCTCAACAATTAGCTGGCATCTCACACATCAGTGATATTTAATAATAATACACGATTAGTATTGTCAGGTTTTTTAATTAGACTGCTCTTACTTACTCCTATTATTCTTGCTTTTTAATATTATACTAGATCCCATGTGGGAGCGTGGCCCCTATTTTAAGATTTATAATTATGTTTTAGATCTAACAAAAAAGTTTATCATTTAAGATGCTCGTTTAAAAAAGTATTACTTCTTATCCTAATTATAAGACCTTATTTACAGTCTACAGATGAGGTCTTATAATTAGGACCGGAGGTAGTATTTACGCAAAAAACTTCTGAAGTAAATTTATATTTTAGAATAGTTGAAAAAGTAAAAATTTCTGGCGTAGATTCTTTTTAATAAATTATAAGTTGTGATTTTTTTAATATTAAAAATAAAGAAAATAAGAAACAAACAAGAGTCTCCCCGCGAGCAAGCTTCAAACGTCAATTTGTTCTGAAACAGACTGCGCAACTCCCGCCACCAGGCAATGGTCCCTCTGTGCGGTCCCATTGGTTCTGTTGGATGATGTTGTGATTTCCTTATTTCCGGCGATGTTAATCCTCTCTAGCTCCTGTGCTCTCCACGGTCATCGATCTGCAACTCTTTCGTCTCTGGAATTATCGCCATGGGTGTTGAGTTTCAATGCTTTGAGTACACATGGTTTTCCCCTTTCCTTTGCCGGTTCTCTTTTCTGTCTCTCTTGTTTTTTATATGGTTGATTTTGAAAACTGCACTCATTCTTTCTTAAATTCATATTATTTTGATGCTCTTGTAATCTACTTACGTTACTATTTAATTACGAGATGGTGAAATTGCTGTTTTGTGATCATTTTAGTTCTTCATAGGCTTTGTTTGACTATTACTCCCAGTCGCCGTTTCATATGAACTTGATTGCGCCGACTTTGCTGCTTGCTGGAAAACTGGTAGTTTAATTGCTCTTCGGTGTTCAATTAGTTGTTTCTTTCCTTAAATTTTCCAGTTTTGGGTTAAGAAAGTTAAACATGCCATTTATGCGGTCACTATTAATCACTTTGTTTATGGAACCCCTGGGTAATCACTTTGTTTATGGAACCCCTGGGATGAGATTCTTGGCGTCAAATATGAATGTCCCGATGTGTTCAAGTGCAGGGATATCTGGTTGTGTCCTGGGGACATTAAAATTAGACTGTTCAATTTGTTGCTAAAATAAAAGTATCCTGTGGTTTTTTTTTTGGATGCCCACCCAATTCACCAGAACTTTACTCCGACTATAACTAGATTCGACCCGCGTCACGCACCTAGTTGTGGTGGGTGAGTTTCCTAACGGAGATTTATTTATATGCGGAGGTTCGAATTCGAGACCTCACTTAAGCGGTACCAAACTGCTTACTATTTGGATCAAATCCCGTTAGTAAGTAACCTGTAGTTGTTCCTTGACACATGACACGGACATCAGAGGCCCCTCTCCCCTCTCTCGCTAAGCTACCACCCCCCATTTATTGAACGTTGGTTTTGGGCTGCCTCTCCCAAGTTTTTTCCTTCATAGTCTTTAAAGCCAGGCCCCCACATACATCTTCCTAAAATTGATGCAACGATCCATGATGCCACAACATTGGGCATACGGACATAGGGGGGTTTATGATCGTGCAGCAACTTTTAGTTGCCAATTATAGCCACACAAAAAAAAAGAAGAGTTTATCTAGTTAGTAAATAATCAGCTCATAATCTACAAAATCATAAATTCAAATCCCATTACTGATATAAAGATTTTGTTGGTAAGTAATCTGTAAACACTTTTTGAGTCTAAAAGCATACTTGGATCTTAGTGAGTCTCAGAACTCTTAACTCATTTAAATTCCTTTACCAAAAAAAAAAATTCTTAATGATATGCACTGGGTTACGAAGGAGTAAGTTAGAAAATGAGGAAAAGGTTAAAAAAAACAAACACTAACAGGTTAAAACGTATGAAATAGACTAACTAGGAATCAAAACGCCTTCGGTATAATCCCCACCGCCCACCGGGAGGCGGGGGGTTTTTGCTCGTCTTGAAATGATCCAGCCTATGTTTTCCCCAAGAATTGCGATAAAATTAGTGGACTATATTTTCTGCTAACTTTAGACATCATCCATGGCTATGATTTATTGACAGTCTAACCAATTTTTATAAAGGCTATACAAAAAATTCTCATTGTTATTGACAAAATAAAATATCCTCTCCTCAGTATATTATTAAAAGCCCAAACTGGGGAGGGGAGAATCAAAAGAAAGAAAATACAAATACGATAGAAAATGGTTCTAGAGGGCGACAACAAACTGATTACATATGAATATGGCGTCCCCTGTGAAGCGAGAAACCAATCTATCGACACACACTTTCGAAATAAGAAGGCCAAAAAACAAAATTAATTCAATCAAATATAGAGATGTAAAACCTAATCCAACGAACTGAACAAAAGAATAATCATAGCTAAAGCTCACATTGCCCTCTGAACCCTGGGGGTCTTGGATATAATGACCTTGAGATAATCATAACGACTGCGATGGTAATCAATCCACAAACACAGCTGCCTGATGGCCTCTCTTTTCTCTTCCGCCAAGCCCAGTATCCCTTCGTCTTTATCTTTTACCATTTGCTCTAGTCCTGCCACTGACTTCTCAAGTTGAACCACTCTTGTCGTCAGGTTTTTGTTCTCTAGTTCTTCCTTGCTAGCCTTCGACTCCAGCTTCTGAACTATCTCTTTCAAAGCCAATTCTTTTTCATTTCTTTCCTGCAGCTGCTCCCCCAAATGGCGTCTGTCCTTCTTCAACTTCTCTCTTTCCACATTCATCTCTCTAACCCAGTCCTTTGCCATCTGAAGCTCATTTGAGATGTTTGAAATACGACTCTCATAATTTCCGTGGTCATCAGCGAATTTCCCCATTACGGTATCCATGCCGGTCATCACATACCTCATGCTCCCTTTGATGTTAGTGACTGTTTCCTGATAGGCCTCCTTGTTAGCAGCAATTATTCCTGACAATGTAGCAATCCTGTCTTCAAGTTTTCTCTGATCTTCCTGGAACTTCTCCTCTGCCTTTCTAAAGTGTTCTTCCTTCTCACTTAGCACTTGTTCTGTGACCCGAAGCTTTTGGTTTGACAGACGAAGTTTTACCTCGATATTTCGGATGTTCTCAAGCAAAGTACCAGTTTCATCTGTCTTCAGTTCTAAATCCCTTCTCAAGTCTTCTGCTGTTTGTTCCAAATCAGCTACAATCTGATCCTTTGATTCAATGCCACTATGAAGCTCTTCTGTCATTTCTACAACCTTCTTTTCTGCAGCTTCAAGTTTTGCCTTACATTCCTGAAGCCAACTCTCAACCTGTTTATATTCTTCATTTAACTTCTGATATGCATCTTCTCGTTGTTCCAGCATTCTCTGATGATCCAAAATTTTGCTTGCCAGCTCTTTCTTTTCATTCTCTAGCAAGATAAAGTTTTCTCCATTTTCTTCTTTAGCTCTATCATATTGAAGCATCAATTCTTCTTTCTCTTTCTGCAAGGATAGCAAGTCTTCTTGCAGATTCTTGATCTGGGTTGTGAAGGCAATTATTTGAGATGAAGCCTCATTCTTTTCGCCTTGAAGTGTGTCTTCTAAAGCAGAGAACTCAGCCTCTTTATCTGCTAAAGTTTTCTCCAGGGCAGCAATTTTCTCTTGTAGGACGGAAATTTCCTCTTTCAGCTGACTGTTTTGCTCTTCAGATTCATTCTTGCCGTTATTTATGGAATCCAACTCCAACTTCAGGTTTTCACACTGCTTTGCCAATTCTTGCTTCTCATTATGCAGGGAAACCAAATCTTGTTGAAGATTTTCAATCTGTGATGTTAAGGCCATTATTTGAGTTGAACCTTCATCCTCTGCTTTTTTAAGTTTATCCTGAAGAGCAGAGATCTCAGTCTCCCTCTCTGCTAATATTTTCTCCACTTCAGATATTTTGTCACGCAGCCCTGAATTCTCCTCTCTCAATTGTATGGCCTCATGGTTGCTAATCCTCATTTGCTCTTCAACTTCACCCTTCTGGCCCTTTACCATGCCTACCTCAGATTCCAGCTTCCTTATCTGCATGTTTAATTTTTCCGTTCTCTTCCACAAACCTCTCTTGATCTAGAGTCCTACTGGCGACCTCCTCCTTTAGAGTTTGTATATGAATCATGTGTTCTAAATTTTCCTGGACAATTTTGGCAAGTTGAACTTCCAAGTCGGATTTCTGGTATTGTAGGGACTCTACTTCCTGCTGCAATACATTTACCTGGTCTGTAATGCTTTTGACTTGAGCTGATGCTTCATTACTTTCAAATAATACCCGCTCTTCCAGTTTATCCTTTTGAGCACGTAGCTGATCTACATCAGTTAGCAGATTATTGATTTGAGACGTCAAATCAGCTATTTTGGATAATGACCTATTGTCTCCATCTTCAAGATTTTTCACCATAGCAGACAGTTCATTTTCTCTTTCTTTGAACTTTATTTCTAGTTCTGAAATTAGGTTTTCTAGTCCTGAATTTTGCTCTACAAGTTCTCTAACTTCAGTTGTGCTACTAGTCATTTGCCCTTCCAGTTCTTGTTTCTGCCTTTGCACTGATTCCAATTCCAGATTGAGGATTGTGACTTGTGCTTCTAATGCCCTGATTTTATTCGAGGATTCATTCTCATACCCTTCATACATTTGGCTGAGGTCTGAAACTTCCCTTTCCCTCTCATTCAGTCTCTCCTTTAGCTGAGTTGATTCAGTTACAAGTTCTTGTATTCTGTCATGAGCAAGCTGAACCTCATTTGAAAGCAGTGAAAGTTTTAACTTCAATGATTCGTTCTCTTCCTCAGCAACTTTCAGATTATGGCTTAAACTTGTCTCTCGCTGTTGTACTTCTTCCAATAACCGCTTCAGAATGGAGAATTCACCAGTCACAGCTTCTAGTTCTTTTCCAAGGGCTAATTTCTCATCATTCAGTTGACTCACAGTGGCTTTTAGGCTGCCTGTAATATTCTGTCCCTCATCAATCTTCCTGATAGCTGTCTCTTTCTCCTGGACCAAATTGTCTTTCTCCCTCTTCAAGTCCTCCAATCTATTATTCAGTTCAGCTTCAATCTCTCCAGCATTGTCCAGTTGCTTCTTCAGTTCACCATTCTCTGCGAACAGTTTTGATCTCTGAATTTCTAGTGTTTCAGCTTCAGTTTTCAAATCTGCGTTGATTTTCTCTGCTTCTTCTATCTTGCTCAAGGCTGCAAGATATTTTGAATTTAGGTCCTCCTTTTCTTCACACGTAACTGTCAATTTTTGACTTAATTCTGCAACTTCTGTGCGTTCCATTTCTAGTTCTTGTTTTAGGCCATCAATTATCTTTTGGAATTCATTTTCCAGTTGTCCATTTTTGCTGTCTTTGTCCTTTGAAGAGTAATCTGAATCTGAGTCTGAGCTAGATGAAGAACTCTCCTTTCCTTGCTTTCCATTAATCTCTTTCTTCAACTCTCCTGTCAGATGGTCATATCGAGCATAGAGTGATTTGTATTGATTGTGGAAATCTTCAATTAGTTCTACAAGTGATTCCTTATTGGAAAATTGTACTGAGCTACCATCCTCTTCATGATTGTCATCTCCAATAAGCTTCAATATTCTTTTTACCTTGTCTTCAATTTCTGCAGGGGCAAAAACACCTGATCATTTGTTTGATCATATTTGACGAATTTCAGTGCAATATTGAACTGATTTCATACCTGTTTTAGCCCTTTGCAGCTGCTGTTCTTTTTCAGGGTCAATATGACTTCCAAACAATGATTTTATAGATTCTCTAAAGCGATGTTTCACCATCTTCTCTATGAACTATCCACTCTTCTCAGCAGTTGCCCATGAAGATAATTTGGTCTCTTTGATATCAGGAATTCAGAAGCTGAAAATTTCAAAACTAGTGTTTGATTTCTGGATAAAGTGAAGCAGTTGGTTTTCAACATATTCACTCTTTCAAATATTTTTCCTAAAAATCTTTTCTGAGAAAGTTTTTACTACTCGGACCTGGGTACAATTCTTTTGGTACATGACACCATGAGAAATTTTATTCAGACGTACATTTTCCTTTGATAAAAGAATGTGTCTGACATATCAATATCAATACAATAAAATATAAATTCTACAACAAATTGCACTATTCAAAAGTTATAAACAATACAACTTATTCCTCAGATTCCATTCAATACAAGGGAAGCCCACTAGTTTTAGTAATATATGATAAGTTGATAACACCACCACCCATTCAACAGGGCAATAAGATTTTAAATGAACAGTTCAATTTGTATAACAGTGGTTTTCTCTTTTCCTGAGTCAATAATAACAAGGTGAATTATTATTGCAATTGTAGCAGATTGAATATGATATATTATCAAGGACAGGCAAGTAGGAAGCCCATCGACTCTTGTACCATCAGATCAGAACTTAGCAATCAGGGATTAAGTTCTGATAACAAGACCACAACTGTAGAGAGGAATGCATTACTAGATGTGACCGCGAAAATTTGACATGAGCTATTTTCAGGTGTTAACTCTCTTGACGAAATTGCAAGAAATCTAATGTGACACGTCTCATAGAGATACAAATTTCCAGCGTATGGGATGAAATTGTCAGCTAAAAATTCAAAAGCAACTGGAATAAAAAGGAAGAATGACATATGGAGACGATTAAGAAGTACATTCACCACTTTCTCTCTTTTCCATTCTAAAACTATTATAATTGCTCAGCATAAGAAGTTGGAATACTTGCAGCTTATGAACTCCTCATCCCCTCTTCGTATTAAGAGCAAGTTGCACTTAAAAACCAAAAAAATAGAAGGCACATACTAAGTCACGGAGCTGAAAGTAACTCAGCACTAAAATCCACAATATTTCATTGCTCAAAGACAGATTTTTTTTTTTTTTAAATGGCACTTAAAGATCCATATAGAGTATTAACAACATTTGAAGACATTCAAAATCAAAATTCTTCTGGAAGAAAATATGACTTATGCTCTCAAAATTGATAACAGTACTTTTCAAAAGAATCATCGATACCTTCTGAAAATTTCAATGATATATTAGGTCTTTTAAAAAGAATTTTAATTTAATTTTTAAAACCTAAAATATCATTAACTTATCCGAAACGTCTTTGAATATTATTTTTGCGATGTTTTTTTGGATTTTGTTTTGGGGAGGTGGAAGGGAGGGTGGACATATGTGTCAAAAACCTCGGCATTCCTCTTCTCGCACACCCAAGACATCATTTTGTTTTAAAATATTTCCTTAAATTTAGAAAAGCTATTATTTGGTAGAATAAAATCCAGTTAGAAAGCAAGAAAATTTATTCGATCTGTCGCCTAAATAACAAGCATAAAAATTTTATGTTCAGGAATAGATTTTAAGTTTTAAGAAAACTAATATATCGAACAAATGCAAGTTGCCAAACAATGCGGACTAACGGTGGGTGCCTATATTCGGTCAAAACAAAAACATGGGATGCCTATATCAGTAAATCTTAGGTTTCTCCCGCTCGCTGTCAAGGAACGGATGCAACTGCATCAAGAATGAACGAAAATTGTTTGCGATCGTTTAATATGGTCCTATCATCTTTAAAATGGCCTACCGCTAATTTCCAATATTTAATAAACATATCATTTTTTTTTGCCAGCAAATAAACATATAATTTTATGAATGAGCAATGAATAAATAATCAATTAATTAGAAGGAAAAATGAGCCACCAAAAAGTTAGTTAACGTGAATTTAATCTGGCGCCATATCAACTCCTCCGCGAATGTTTGAAAGCTGACTGTGATTCTATGAAATTTCCACAAGTTTTTCCTTCCCCACCGAAAGGAAAGAAAGAAGAAAAAGAATTATCGTTCGCGATTTATTGGGGCCAAGAAAGAAAGAAAGAAAACGCAAGACTTAAGAAAACGGATGATAATCGTTAATCTCAAACTTCTGATAAAAGCTGTCTAAATCAGTATTTCGTCCACATCAGATAGCTAAATCCGATAAGTAAATTTCTGTACCTGAGATATGCTTTCACTTTCTCTTCCACTCTTTTCACAGAAGCTTTTAGTTCTTCTCCAAAATCAAACATGCAGCAGGCTAAAACAAAACAAGAAACAGAAAATCCAATGCCGAAAATAAGATGAATATAAAATGATCGAATAAATTGAAATTTGGATGATAAATCTAGTTTCAATTAATCATAACTATATTATATGAATAAAGAACAGTAATCTGCAAGCATCACGACTCTATACAAGTTTTCCGTAACTAAAAAAGCGAATTAAATTAAATTAAGATCAGAGATGATACAAGCTTCAACGCCATGCGAAATTGCAGAATTAACAAAGGAATACAGAATAATCAAAGGACACTGAAGGAACAAAGAGTAAGTAGCAAATAGTAGCTCGCATAAATTGATTAAATTCAATTTAGCAGAGAACGAACTTGATCCGATCAAATCCACAAGCAAGCAAGGGTGGAATAGTTAAACGGAACTACAAGCTCCAAGGCCAGAAGCTCGCCTCGGAGAATTCAAACACCAGAGAAAATATAACAGTACTCGAAATAAAATTCACCATTACCTGAAAGTCAAAAAGCGAATATCATCCTTCCGGAACAGACGATCAAAGTTGGAGAGGATCGAAAATCGAAAAAGAAAGAAAGAAGATAGGACGAGCACTTCAATGAACGCGAGGAGGACAGAGAGGAAGGAGAGAGCTTAGTTTACAAAAATTAAAAGAAAATTAAAAAGAAAAATTACACTCTCAAAAATTTTGAATGCAAAAGTAGATTTGTCTGGATTGGAATGCTCCATGGGACGCCAGCAATTTTGCAGCTTCATATTTCAGGGACGGAATCTTTGGATTTCATCTTACATGTTTGCCCCTCGCCCACTAATTTATTACACTAGTGCCACTGCGAACTTTCCGTCGCGCGATTTCGGAACGGATGCAACTGCATCAAGAATGAACGAAAATTGTTTGCGATCGTTTAATATGGTCCTATTTCCAATATTTAATAAACATATCATTTTTTTTTGCCAGCAAATAAACATATAATTTTATGAATGAAGCAATGAATAAATAATCAATTAATTAGAAGGAAAAAAATGAGCCACCAAAAAGTAGTTAACGTGAATTTAATCTGGCGCCATATCAACTCCTCCGCGAATGTTTGAAAGCTGACTGTGATTCTATGAAATTTCCACAAGTTTTTCCTTCCCCACCGAAAGGAAAGAAAGAAGAAAAAAGAATTATCGTTCGCGATTTATTGGGGCCAAGAAAGAAAGAAAGAAAACGCAAGACTTAAGAAAACGGATGATAATCGTTAATCTCAAACTTCTGATAAAAGCTGTCTAAATCAGTATTTCGTCCACATCAGATAGCTAAATCCGATAAGTAAATTTCTGTACCTGAGATATGCTTTCACTTTCTCTTCCACTCTTTTCACAGAAGCTTTTAGTTCTTCTCCAAAATCAAACATGCAGCAGGCTAAAACAAAACAAGAAACAGAAAATCCAATGCCGAAAATAAGATGAATATAAAATGATCGAATAAATTGAAATTTGGATGATAAATCTAGTTTCAATTAATCATAACTATATTATATGAATAAAGAACAGTAATCTGCAAGCATCACGACTCTATACAAGTTTTCCGTAACTAAAAAAGCGAATTAAATTAAGAATCAGAGATGATACAAGCTTCAACGCCATGCGAAATTGCAGAAATTAACAAAGGAATACAGAATAATCAAAGGACACTGAAAGGAACAAAGAGGTAAGTAGCAAATAGTAGCTCGCATAAATTGATTAAATTCAATTTAGCAGAGAACGAACTTGATCCGATCAAATCCACAAGCAAGCAAGGGTGGAATAGTTAAACGGAACTACAAGCTCCAAGGCCAGAAGCTCGCCTCGGAGAATTCAAACACCAGAGAAAATATAACAGTACTCGGAAATAAAATTCACCATTACCTGAAAGTCAAAAAGCGAATATCATCCTTCCGGAACCAGACGATCAAAGTTGGAGAGGATCGAAAATCGAAAACAAGAAAGGAAGATAGGACGAGCACTTCAATGAACGCGAGGAGGACAGAGAGGAAGGAGAGAGCTTAGTTTACAAAAATTAAAAAAATTAAAAAGAAAAATTACACTCTCAAAAATTTTGAATGCAAAAGTAGATTTGTCTGGATTGGAATGCTCCATGGGGACGCCAGCAATTTTGCAGCTTCATATTTCGGGACGGAATCTTTGGATTTCATCTTACATGTTTGCCCCTCGCCCACTAATTTATTACACTAGTGCCACTGCCAACTTTCCGTCGCGCGATTTCTCGTGGTGACGTAAGCAAAAGACGGTTCGGACTGGTGGGCTTGAGCCTTGAGGCCCTCCGCGTTATTCATGCATTTGCTTGCTTTTCACATTAATTTCATAATTTGATTATTTGTACGAGGAATTTTTAAAAAATTAAAATTAAAATCGCTCATATAATTGAGAAAACAGCATTTGCTACTCAAAATGCCAGAGAGGACCACCGTATGATGCCACCAGGTCTTGTTTGAGTATATCGAGCTCATCTGTCTCATTTTCCGGCACGCACGCAGGTGCAACGTGCTCCGTGAGCTGTAGTCTCTCATCTCATGCGGCCCCATTGTTTCGGCTTTCTTATTTTTATAATGAGATGAGATTGCCAATCTCGTCTTCAAATTATATTTCTCTTTTCTATTATTTTAATCGATACCGCGTCGTTATTTATTACGTTACACGTGTAATAGTTTCATATAAAGCAGAGAACATTTTGTAAAGTCGCTTTGTTCAGCTGCTAAAGGCGTATCATCACAAGAAGAAAGATCATACTTTGGCAATCCTATTAAATTTATGGAGACCTGAGACGGAAAGCCTGCAAAAGCACAGTTCAAACTCCAGAATGAATAAACTAAAGGCCCAAGAGTTATTGACCAATGGAAAAACAAAAAGAATAGGCTCATCAAGTGTTTAGTTGAGAACAAAATGAATCAATCACATGGCGAACTGGTGATACGTTTAAAAATGAAATGTTAATTCCGCAGTTGATCAGTAAATTGTACATTGCATGATACAAAAATTGTCTGAAGCAGAAATGAATTATTGGGGTCGTTCTAACATGGAGCATTATAGCCACGGACAAAAAGGGTGGCAGAAAAAATAGTTTGGTTAGTGCACGTGGAGGACAATCTGGGACCCAAAAGGGAGGGCAAACAAAAAGAATGGAGTCAAAGGTCATTTCCTTAATTCTGTCTCTCTAAGTTTTTTGGATCACCTTTCCCTCTAGTTTTTTGACATATGAATATATGCATGTCAAGTTCTGGTGCTTGTGTTCTTCTTAGCGATCAAACCCTTGAGAACGTCGCAACGGTTACGATGATAATCATTGAGAAAACAGAGCTGCCTTATTGCTTCCCTCTTCGTGTCTCCCAGATTCACCAACTCTTCATCCTTCTCTTTCAAGCTCTTTTCCAACATTCCCACTTTCTTTTCAAGCTCTGTAACCGATTTCATTAGATTCAGATTCTCTTCTCCTTCCTCTCTCAACCTGGTCTCTAGCTTCTCCACCTTCTCTCTCAATAACAATTCCTGCTCTTCTTTATCATTCAGTAAACCAGAAAGGTCTTCCACGTTTGTCTTCAGTTGTTTCATTTCTTTCTTTCTCTGCTTTATCCAATCTCTCGCGTTCTGAACCTCTTCCATCATTTGAGCCACGCGGCCGTGAAAACTAACCTGGGCATCTTCTAGCTTCGAAGTAGCCAACTCTAGCACGTTCAGAACTTCTATTGGTTTCAGTTTTGTGGCACCAAATCCTGCCACCTTTTCTTCATATATGGCAACTTTCTGTTTTAGCATTTTGTTTTCTTGTTCATACCTCTCCTTCACAACTTTGTAACCATCTTTGTTCTCGTTATGTAGCTGTTCTGCTACGCGGATTCTTCTGTATAATAGCCTGATACTGTCTTCTAGTTGCCGTCGTATCTCTTCAGCTAATTCTTCGATCCTCTTTTCTGAGAATTGTTTATTCAGCTTAAACTTTCTGGCCCACATTCTCGATTCTTCGATCTCCGCGCTGATTCGCTCGATGGTTTCTGTCTGATCTTTTATAGTTCTTCCCTGATCAAATACCGTTGCGAGGCTTTCTGAATATTCCTTTTGGATTCTTTCGTTTTGTAACTCCAACCTGATCTTCTCTTCCTTGTAATAGTTTAACTCTAGTTTCAGATCGTTAAATTGAGATGATAAAGCTATAGCATGCGGTGAAGCTCCATTTCTACTACTGCTTTCGCGTTCCTTCGCTTGAGCTTTAAGCTCTTCTCCTGCATGTGTCACTGCTCTTTTCAGCTCAAGATTCCGATCCTCCAATGATTTGTTTTCATCTCTCATCTGTTTAATCTCATTATTTTTCTGTCTTAACTCCTCTTCCAATTTCTCTTTCTCTTTGCATCGAGATTCAAGTTCCATTTCCAGCTCCTTAACCCTTCCCGCCAAACCTTCATTCTCTTCTTGCATTCTGCGTTCAAGCAAACCCTTTTCAACTATTTGTTGATTCAGATATTCCATCTGAGTTGCTAGCTCTTCGTTCTTGTCAGATAAAGATTCCAAATTTTGACGCATGACATTGAGCTGGTCTCTTAGGCCCTCCATTTGGCTCAGTGCTTCGTCTCTACTGGGTGTTAGTTTTGCTTGCACCTCATCTTTCTGGTCGCGCAGAGTTTTCGCCTCCGTGGTAAGCGTGTTGATTTGTTCTATCAGTTCTGTAATATTATCGTGGCTCTGATCATAATCATCGAGTTTCCTCTGCAGACCAGAAACTTGGTCTTCTTTCGTGTTCTCCAACGTTTGTAGCCCTGCATTTTTGGCAATTTGAAGTTGCAGCTCCGACTTGTGACAAGTCAAGCTTTCTATATCTTTCTTTTGAGAATGAAACTGCTCTTCAAGCTCCTTTCCCCGAGTTGATATTGCTCGAGCGTGGAGATCACTTTCAGACTCATTATCCTCTGCTTCACATCTCGGGTCTGGTATGGTAATGTGATGTTCACGTTCAGGCGAGTTTCTCCGGGTTTCAACTTCGTCTGAGGAGAAATAATCGGAGTCAGAGCTAGAGCAAGACAAAGAAGCAGAAACCCCACTGTCTATTCTGCGAGAAACTATTTTGCCGTTCTCCGCCGTGAGACGGTCGTAAAGAGCATATAGTGACTGGTACTGTGTGAAGAAGTCCTCGATGAGTCCCACAAGTTCCGTTTCTTGTCCCGCACCTTTTGGGCTTCTATCTCTGTTGCTGCCTTGATCTTCATTCTTAATAATCTTTAAGATTTTTGAGAGATTGTTTTCTATATCTGCAAGTAATGAGAAAACCGTCGTAGGTTTAAATCCAACGTTAAACTAACAGTTTAGAGAATTAATCCTATTGAGAAGCCAATATTCTGAGTGTTTCTTACCTGTTTTGTTCCTTTTGAGTTCTTCGATTTTTTCAGGTTCAACTTGATTACCCAGAATGGTGCTTAGTCCTCTTAGGCGGTGCTTGATCATCTTTCACTTCACAAGGTTCGGGAAGGATGCTAATCAGAATGAGCTAATAAGCAAT